ACAGCTAGTTACCAAAGTAGTTTGAGTAACTACATGGTATAAGGGCAACTTAATATAAAGTGTTGTGATGGTAAACCACAATATCAGTATGACTCCTCCTGAAGTGGTGGGCCGCCAGTACAGGGGCTGTATGTCAACAGGCAACAGTATTTATTTTGCCTGGATGTCATGAAAGTGTATTTCATTTCTAGTTAAGGATTGTTTTCCAAGTCAAAACGTCCTTGTTTGTCTTCTATTTAAGGTTGTTTAATGTGATTAATTCCAAGCCTTATGAGTTTTAAGTTGATAGCACTCTCTTTCAACTCTTATGAAGCCCAAGTGGTTGAATTTGAAAGCACTCCACGGCAACATACAGCAAATAGATGATTTTGAGTATCAATGGTGGCCTATTTATTCAAAGAGAACTTGGCTAGCAGGTATGATAATTGAAATTGGTAACTGATGCTCTTCATCCTGATTTGAAATCTGCCAATAATTCTTGGTCATTTGGATAAATTAGTACTGGTATGCAATATACATTACAAGCATTTCAGATCATTTGACTGTTAATTATTTTGATGAATTACTAAAGTTGTCAACTTAGATTATGAAAACCTCTAAATGGCACAGGCATGCACATTATGCCTTCCATTTGCTTTAGAATTTTTAAACGTCATTTTTTGACCTTCTACTGACAGTGATCTGTTCCAATGTTCTGAACACACTCACTCTCAAACACACTCTCCCTTTGGTTCTATTCATATGTCTTACATTTCTAATACGTCTGATAATCAGTATGAGAACACTCAGATGTAAAATTAATTGTTACGAATTTTGCTCAATGCAATGATGGGAGTGTCTTTTCAGGAGACTGTTCTATGTTGACCTCTGTCTGTCTGAAGTTTTCCTACTGTCTCAATTGAAATGTACACTGCTGCTGAGGGAAATAAAACAGACTGCGGGAAAAGTGACTGGTTTTGTTGGCTGCTTAATTTTCCACATTTGTATTAACCTTTTGGGCTGACTTACCCTTTCACACAGTGCTATCACAGCACTGGGTGTGCAACTAAGTTGAAACAACACTGAGTGCTTGGGAAGGAGGAAGGGGTTCACTGGCTGATGATGATAATAGCTTGCGTGCCAATTTGATCTCATACATTCTTCTCATACAGTGGGGAAAAAAAAGTATTTAGTCAGCCACCAATTGTGCAAGTTCTCCCACTTAAAGATGAGAGAGGCCTGTAATTTTCATCATAGGTACACGTCAACTATGACAGACAAATTGAGAATTTTTTCTCCAGAAAATTACATTGTAGGATTTTTAATGAATTTATGTGCAGATTATGGTGGAAAATAAGTATTTGGTCACCTACAAACAAGCAAGATATCTGGCTCTCACAGACCTGTAACTTCTTCTTTAAGAGGCTCCTCTGTCCGCCACTCGTTACCTGTATTAATGGCACCTGTTTGAACTTGTTATCAGTATAAAAGACACCTGTCCACAACCTCAAACAGTCACACTCCAAACTCCACTATGGCCAAGACCAAAGAGCTGTCAAAGGACACCAGAAACACAATTGTAGACCTGCACCAGGCTGGGAAGACTGAGTCTGCAATAGGTAAGCAGCTTGGTTTGAAGAAATCAACTGTGGGAGCAATTATTAGGAAATGGAAGACATACAAGACCACTGATAATCTCCCTCGATCTGGGGCTCCACGCAAGATCTCACCCCGTGGGGTCAAAATGATCACAAGAACGGTGAGCAAAAATCCCAGAACCACACGGGGGGACCTAGTGAATGACCTGCAGAGAGCTGGGACCAAAGTAACAAAGCCTACCATCAGTAACACACTACGCCGCCAGGGACTCAAATCCTGCAGTGTCAGACGTGTCCCCCTGCTTAATCCAGTACATGTCCAGGCCCGTCTGAAGTTTGCTAGAGTGCATTTGGATGATCCAGAAGAGGATTGGGAGAATGTCATATGGTCAGATGAAACCAAAATAGAACTTTTTGGTAAAAACTCAACTCGTCGTGTTTGGAGGACAAAGAATGCTGAGTTGCATCCAAAGAACACCATACCTACTGTGAAGCATGGGGGTGGAAACATCATGCTTTGGGGCTGTTTTTCTGCAAAGGGACCAGGACGACTGATCCGTGTAAAGGAAAGAATGAATGGGGCCATGTATCGTGAGATTTTGAGTGAAAACCTCCTTCCATCAGCAAGGGCATTGAAGATGAAACGTGGCTGGGTCTTTCAGCATGACAATAATCCCAAACACACCGCCCGGGCAACGAAGGAGTGGCTTCGTAAGAAGCATTTCAAGGTCCTGGAGTGGCCTAGCCAGTCTCCAGATCTCAACCCCATAGAAAATCTTTGGAGGGAGTTGAAAGTCTGTGTTGCCCAGCGACAGCCCCAAAACATCACTGCTCTAGAGGAGATCTGCATGGAGGAATGGGCCAAAATACCAGCAACAGTGTGTGAAAACCTTGTGAAGACTTACAGAAAACGTTTGACCTGTGTCGAACTCCTGAGTGGCGCAGTGGTCTAAGGCACTGCATCGCAGTGCTAACTGTGCCACTAGATCCTGGTTCGAATCCAGGCTCTGTCGCAGCCGGCCGCGACCAGGAGACTCATGGGCGGCGCACAATTGGCCCAGCGTCGTCCAGGGTAGGGGAGGGAATGGCTGGCAGGGATGTAGCAACGCCAGGGTTGTGGGTTCGATTCCCACGGGGGGCCAGTATAAAAAAATATGTATTCACTAACTGTAAGTTGCTCTGGATAAGAGCGTCTGCTAAATGACTTAAATGTAAATGTCATTGCCAACAAAGGGTATATAACAAAGTATTGATAAACTTTTGTTATTGACCAAATACTTATTTTCCACCATAATTTGCAAATAAATTCATTAAAAATCCTACAATGTGATTTTCTGGATTTTCTTTTCTCATTTTGTCTGTCATAGTTGACGTGTACCTATGATGAAAATTACAACATGGTGTGAGTGTGCGTACTGTATATGCATGCAGCCTGGATTCGGAGTGACTGGTTTCAGGGGATGCAGATGTGAGAAATTATGTCATGTCGCTCTCACATTTAACACCGAAGGAAACAGAACATAAATAGAGGACTTGATTCTGAGAAGTCAGACTTCCTCTGAACATTTGCTATGAATTGTGAAGTTGTCTTAGACAAAAAAAAATAGCCTATTTTCCCATATCTCCAATAAATGGAAGATGAGTTGGTTTATTTTGTAAAATTTATTGAAATGCTTACCTATTCTTCATCCTTTTAATTAGTTGGTTACTGTACCATATCTGCTGTCGCGTGTGGAGCGCATGGGACAACATTTATTTTTGGCCAAGGTAAGTGTTTTGGAAACTTCAGAATGATTTTTTTCTGATACTATATAGAAATCAAAACATCTTACCTGCATGTGACTGTAGGAGGATTTGAAAAAGTAACTTTTTGCCACTCCAGGGATGTTTTAAAAATGTCCTCTTAAAACTGCTTATAACACATTCTGTTCATGATATCGAAATTCTAACTATATATGTGTGTTAAATAGACTTATTTAGGAATAGTCAAGGACGGAGGGGGGCATGACTTTAAAAAATGGCAGAGATATTTCAATTTTTAATTAATATGCAGTCAAAATGACTGCCTCTGTGCTTGACGTTCATCTTTTATTTTGAAAAATGTAGGTCTGCCAACCTCTGCCCAATGCACTTCCTCCCACAGAGGTGACAGGGTTGACCATAACAGGGTTGACAATTTCATCTTACATCCACCATAAATCCCCTTGACAGGGGGAATGGAAGCTTGTTGTGTGCAACACGGAGTGGCAATTGAATGCAAGCTTCACAAAATATTTTGTAAAACATTTCTAGCCTATCTATGGGTAACAGGGTTGACATGTTACGCTCGACCCACTCAGTTTTCATTTATGTCATTTACCAGAGCGACTTACAGGAGCAATTAGGGTTAAGTGCCTTGCTCAAGGGGACAATTACAGATTTTTCACCTAGTTGTCTCAGAGATTCAAACCAGCGGCCTTTTGGTTACTGTCCCAAGGCTCTTAACTGCTAGGCTACCTGACGCTAGATTTTTTCCCCCCATCACAAAATGGCCAAAAAGAGTAGAACCAACTCACCTGCTTTTTATACTATGATTTTACTATTAAAACCCTCTGCAGACTAAACCCTGTCTAAGCCAGGGAAGGGGGGGTTCTACTAAGCTAACATATGGAATTGTTTTAAGAATGTCATACCAAGGATAATTTATATATTTGATTTTGAATTTTAAGACCCCTTGTATCCCTAAGTATCCCTAAAAATAATAAACAGATTCACTACATGGAACAACAGATAGTCCCCCAAAACAATCCAAACAAAGTTTGTTCTGAAGTGTCTGTCCTATATCTGAGAGGTATAAGATTAGTAAACTTTTTTATTTTTATATTTTTACATGCATTTAACCCTTTATTTTTGGCACAAAACTGTCTACATATACTGTACTTCCATTCATTTTTTTCAACTGGTACCGGGGACCTTCAGATGAGTCTTGTGAGGCCTGTGGGCGTCCTAGAGCAAAACAACCGACATGTACATGTTTGTGCGAAAATGAATCACTAATCACCTGATATTAATAATAATATTCAGAAATGACTTTGTCAAAGCAACAAAATAACTAGGGCTTGACAATGATGGTGAAAACTTGGAGAAATATTGGGGTTAAGTGGGTTCAAATATTCCTAGAAGTCAGCGGTTGCACTTTATCAAGTCTTTATTCATATAAAAAATCTGATTTATTGAATTCTCCATGTGGTCTATATTAACAGGGCATGGCACTTTATTTAATATAATATGCTTTTAAAATTCAATATTGGTGCACAATTTCTACTTTAAAATATCAAAGGGCCGCAAAAGGCACTCTTTTTGTGGAACGACCCAAGTAATGGTGATGACGAGAGGAAGTCAGACGATGCAGGCCTCAGCATTGCAACACCTTTGTCACAAGTGTGGAACAAAGCTCTTGGCACAGCCAGACTCACACGCATTCAATACGCACACTGTGCTCGTGAGGAATTCCTCTTCAAGAACAGATCCTTCCACATCCTCCGCCTCAATCTCCATCCAGGTATTCCAGCCGGTCCTGTTGAGAGGAGCACCCCCATCATGGCACATGGGAGCTTGGCCTGCCGTCTCTCTGCTCTACTGGGGCTTCTCCTGACCCCTTCTCTGGGGTTGGAACCTCCACGGATCTCCTTCCCCCTCGGTTAGTAGAACATTTGGTGAATTATTGTTTTTTCATGTCCATTTACTAGGATTTGGGTTTTCATGTATTTGCATGTGTGTGTGTGTGAATCTAGCAAATATGTAACTCTAGCATTCAGGCAAGTCAGATAATATTATTTCACGTTTATTTCATGTAAATATATAATTTGTCAGGATATAATATGACCAAAACACTTTCTCATGTTGAACCGCTGAGACATGTTGCAACTTGGCATAGAAAACATGCTTATTAGCTACCTTTTTGGGTAAATTGCTATCTGGCTCCTCTGCAAATCATTCAGCTTGTGGCTGTATGCACTTCATTTGAGTTTCAGTTTGTGCCTCTTCCGCTAAACCTAAAGAAACAACAGTGGCATGAAACACGATGGCACAATAGACACCAAGGCACATAACCTAAGCCAGGGGTTCCAAAACTCTTTCACTCAGGCCCCCCTTCCAGCATTGGAGAACATCCCCCTCCCCCTGCACGCATCTGCGCCACGTCTATTTATATGAGCACAAGCACTGTTAATGACACAAACTGTTCACATCTCTTTTGTTGGTGGAGAGAACATTTTGCATGTTTAAAGCTCATTTCCTGCAATTCTACACATTTTGTCATGGGGTGCAGAGAAAATGTTGCAGTTTTAATGCTACATTTCTTGCAATTCTATAGATTTTGCCTTGTCTAATGTATATTTAAATGACCCAAACATTACAACAAAATCTATGGGCTAAAAAACCTAGCAAAAAAAACTTTTGCTGACATAGGCTAGTTGATAACTAATAATGTAAGCTTACTGTGTCCATAATAAGTATATCGTTTGTAGGTTTGGAGCTTTTGTGAAAGACAGGCTAGTTCAGGGGTGTCAAACTCATTTTAGCTCAGGGGCCACATGGAGGAAAATCTATTCCCAAGTGGGCCGGACCGGAAAAATCATGGTATATATAACTTAAAAACAACAACTTCAGATTGTTTTCTTTGTTTTAATACGATCAACATACAACATAAAGCTGGAGTCTGAGGACAGTGTGTCCAAAATAGTACAAGCACAACATCACTATTAATCATAAAACACGTCAAGTTTATTTGAAAGTTCTGAGGACAAAGAACACACAAACACACAATGCCTCAGTGATTCACAGAAGTATATCACAGATCACAGAACTATATCAGGGTGTCATTTCTCAGGCAGAAATGTAGATAAAAGTAATGAAATCCTGTTCCCCAAACAAGTGCAAGAACCACAGAGTCAAGAATAGGTTAAATATACAAATAAAATAAAATCAATTAAAAACAATAGCACATCAACATAAAAACATATAAACATAAAGCTGGAGCCTGAGGACAGTGTCCAAAAGCACAACATCACTATTAATCATAAAACACCTCAAGTTATTTGAAAGTTCTGAGGACAAAGAACACACAAACACACAATGCCTCAGTGATTAACAGAACTGTTTCACAGATCACAGAACTATATCAGGGTGTCATTTCTCAGGCAGAAATGTAGATAAAAATAATGAAATCCTGTTCCCCAAACAAGTGCAAGAACCACAGTCAAGAATAGGTTAAATATACAAATAAAATAAATTCTATTAAAAACAATAGCACATCAACATAAAAACATATAAACATAAATCTGAAAGCGTTGCTCAAACTCCCGTAACAGTCCCGTTATTTTATCTTTGAACCGCTTCATGTCTGCCACATGTTGGGTCGCGCACACATTTTTCAGACAGGGGAAGTGAGCTGCATCACCACCGGCAAGTTGCGTCTCCCACAATGACAGCTTCAACTTGAAAGAACGTATGCTGTCATAATACTGCGTGACAACTTTGTTGCGCCCTTGCAGCTGTTTGTTGAAGTTATTCAGGTGCTCTGTAACATCCACCATAAATGCAAGGTCCTGCATCCATTCTGCGGAATGAAATTCTAACACTGGTTTGCCCTTTTCTTCCATGAACTGTTCAATTTCTTCTCGTAAATCAAAGAAACGCCTCAGCACAGCACCTCGGCTTAACCATTTTACCTCGGTGTGGTATGGCAGGCCATAGATGTGGTCTTTCTCTCTGAGAAGGCTGTCAAACTGACGGTGATTCTGGATCGGATGAAATTAACAGTTTGGATGACCACCTTCATGACGTTATCCATCTTTAATGACTTGCAACACAAAGCCTCCTGGTGCAAAATACAGTGAAAAGTCAAAAAATCACGTCCTCCATTTGCAGATTGCACTTTCTCTCTGAACTTTGTCACAACGCCTGCTTTTTTCCCGATCATTGAGGGCGCACCATCTGTAGCCAGGCTGACAGCGCGGGACCAGTCCACTCCGACCCTGTCCAGCGCGCCGACGAGTGCGGTAAAAATATCAGCTGCTGTCGTTGTATCTGTCATCGGCACCAACTCCACGAACTCCTCAGTGACGGTCAATGTGTCATCAACTCCGCGGATGAAAATGGCCAGTTGTGCAACATCTGTAATGTCCGTGCTTTCATCAATTGCAACCGAAAACGCAATAAATGACTTTACTTTTTGCTTCAACTGGCTGTCTAAATCCACTGAAAGATCGGAAATCCTGTCTGCAACTGTGTTTCTTGTCAGGCTGATATTTGCAAAAGCCTGCCGCTTTTCAGGGCACACAATCTCCGCTGCCTTCATCATGCATGTTTTTACAAATTCACCCTCACTAAATGGTTTTGAAGCCACTGCGATTTCATTAGCAATGAGGTAGCTAGCTTTCACTGCAGCGTCACTGATGTCTCGGCTGTGAGTAAACACAGACTGCTGTTTCTTCAGACCCGCCAACAGTTCATTCACCTTCTCATCTCCGCTGTCCTTGAAAGTTGTCATATTTGTCGGCATGAAGACTCACATAGTGGCGACGAAGGTTATATTCTTTCAGCACTGCAACATGCTCTGAACACACCAAACATACAGCTTTCCCATTCAATTCCGTGAATAAATAGGATGACCATTTTTCTTGGAACACTCTGTACTCTGCGTCCACTTTTCTCTTTTTTGACAGAGACATATTGGGGCAATGAGGGTGCCAAAGCACATAATGTTAAAAGTAGAAGCCGTAATAAATATCGCGGGCAAAACAAAGTAGCTCATTGGCTGCACGTGCTTGACCTACTTGCTCTGCCCCGGTATAAACAGTTTGCTTGCTTAACACAATTGCTATTGCGCCATCCAGCGGACGCAATTGGAACAGCAGTTTATTTTATTGAAAAATTGCAGCGCATTTTTATACTTTTTTTTTTTAATCATCTCGCGGGCCGGATTAAACCCGTTTGCGGGCCTGATCCGGCCCGCGGCCTGGACGTTTGACACCCCTGGGCTAGTTGATCTGGACATTTCTGACAAGCTATAAATAGCTCTCTAAGGTATGCAACGACTGACATGATGAGGAAAACTGATTATGCGCTACCCAATTTCGAAATGTCACCTTGTGCATTCTACTATTACAACTTTCAAGAGGAAGTTGAAAGCCAGACCCCCGCGATGATAGATTCAAGACGATAGATTCAAAGGCCAAACCACTCAAAATCGAAAATTAAACTGTGCACAGCGCTACATGTTCAAAAGTGAAACCACATAGTCTGATGAGTAACTCATCCGTTTTGGCCTTTGAATCTATCATCGGCATACGTACTGTATATATATATATATATATATACAGTACGTATGCCGTTTTACAATGGTTGTGGTACAAAGAGATGAGAATATTTGCTAACTCTCACAGTCTAAAAGTGAGCACTAGCTGCTATAGTATGGAACCCCATTATAACTTCTTAGCTGTGGTGGCTGCTGGTGGTGGTGGGGGGCGGGGAATTCGAAGGAAAGGCTTATTGAATGAATGGAAGGGTATCAAACACAATTTATGAAGAATGTATCAATGTCCACACAGGTCCGGTATTAACTGGTGGTCCACACAATAAACATACATCCTAATCATAACATTTTTATTTGCCTTTCCTTTCAGAAAGCCCAGAGAGACCCCTTCCCTTTTTCAGCAACCCAGACATTAGAAACACCACCACACTGTTGCTAAGCGACGACGGCTCCACTCTGTTCGTAGGGGCACGAGATGCTGTGCTCTCATTGGATGTCAGCCAGCCTGATGTCATTACCATGAAGACTAAAGTAGGCACATTAGAGCGGAAGAGGGAGCTATCTATATTTCATCAGAGAAGTTTATAAAAGGTTCCAACAGTCTTATTAATATTCTCTCTGTCTGTTTCTCCTATAGATGGAATGGAAGCCATCTCCATTGGACCTACACACGTGTACCAGTAAGGGCAAGAAAAACACGGTATTCATTGTGGTCCTCATGCACTTAAATGCACGCACTTGCCTTCACAAGAAACCATGGGAACCACTCTCACCTCTTTGATATCTGCCTATGTACTTATTTTCCTCAGACGGACTGTCCCAACTTTGTGCGAGTGCTGCAACCCATCAATGCCACCCACTTGTATGCCTGTGGAACATTTGCATACAACCCTCATGATACCTATATTGTAAGACACTCTCCTAATGCCTTCTGTTCTTCTCCTTCACGTCATATTTGGATAGACTCTGAGTATTCATATGATAATGAAACCTATAGCACACTTTTAATGACCCTTCTCTCTTTTTTCCACTTATGGTCCTATAATTCCTCCCCTCTCTCCCTCTCTCAATGTGTTTGTCTCTCTCCTTTCTCTCTCATTCGCTCAGGACAAAGACACTCTTACCATGGCCAAAGTCCCCAGTAAATACAATGAAGCAAGAGGTCGCTGCCCGTTCAACCCATATCAAAGAAATACAGCCATCTCTGTTGGTGAGATGGACAATTGTGGAGAGCCAATTGTAGCTGAATTAGTGGGCTGCCTTGGTGACGAAGCCACATGATAATTGCCAAGAAGACACCAACACTTCCCAAAAAATGCTGTATTTTGTTCTTGTCACTCAGATACAGTGAGGGAAAGAAATGTATTTGATCCCCTGCTGATTTTGTACGTTTGCCCACTGACAAAGACATGATCAGTCTATAATTTTAATGGTAGGTTTATTTGAACAGTGAGAGACAGAATAACAACAACAAAATCCAGAAAAACGCATGTCAAAAATGTTATAAATTGATTTGCATTTTAATGAGGGAAATAAGTATTTGACCCCTCTGCAAAACATGACTTAATACTTGGTGGCAAATCCCTTGTTGGCAATCACAGAGGTCAGACGTTTCTTGTAGTTGGCCACCAGGTTTGCACACATCTCAGGAGGGATTTTGTTCCACTCCTCTTTGCAGATCTTCTCCAAGTCATTAGGGTTTCGAGGCTGACGTTTGGCAACTCGAACCTTCAGCTCCCTCCACAGCTATTCTATGGGATTAAGGTCTGGAGACTGGCTAGGCCACCCCAGGACCTTAATGTGCTTCTTCTTGAGCCACTCCTTTGTTGCCTTGGCCGTGTGTTTTGGGTCATTGTCATGCTGGAATACCCATCCACGACCCATTTTCAATGCCCTGGCTGAGGGAAGGAGGTTCTCACCCAAGATTTTACGGTACATGGCTCCGTCCGTCATCCCTTTGATGCGGTGAAGTTGTCCTGTCCCCTTAGCAGAAAAACACCCCCAAAGCATAATGTTTCCACCTCCATGTTTGACGGTGGGGATGGTGTTCTTGAGGTCATAGGCAGCATTCCTCCTCCTCCAAACACGGCGAGTTGAGTTGATGCCAAAGAGCTCGATTTTGGTCTCATCTGACCACAACACTTTCACCCAGTTCTCCTCTGAATCATTCAGATGTTCATTGGCAAACATCAGACGGGCCTGTATATGTGCTTTCTTGAGCAGGGGGACCTTGCGGGCGCTGCAGGATTTCAGTCCTTCACGGCTTAGTGTGTTACCAATTGTTTTCTTGGTGACTATGGTCCCAGCTGCCTTGAGATCATTGACAAGATCCTCCCGTGTAGTTCTGGGCTGATTCCTCACCATTCTCATGATCATTGCAACTCCACGAGGTGAGATCTTGCATGGAGCCCCCGGCCAAGGGAGATTGACAGTTCTTTTGTGTTTCTTCCATTTGCGAATAATCGCACCAACTGTTGTCACCTTCTCACCAAGCTGCTTGGCGGCGATGGTCTTGTAGCCCATTCCAGCCTTGTGTAGGTCTACAATCTTGTCCCTGACATCCTTGGAGAGCTCTTTGGTCTTGGCCATGATGGAGAGTTTGGAATCTGATTGATTGATTACTTCTGTGGACAGGTGTTTTTTATACAGGTAACAAACTGAGATTAGGAGCACTCCCTTTAAGAGTGTGCTCCTAATCTCAGCTCGTTACCTGTATAAAAGACACCTGGGAGCCAGAAATCTTTCTGATTGAGAGGGGTCAAATACTTATTTCCCTCATTAAAATGCAAATCAATTTTATAACATTTTTGACATGCGTTTTTCTGGATTTTTTGTTGTTGTTATTCTGTCTCTCACTGTTCAAATAAACCTACCATTAAAATTATAGACTAATCATTTCTTTGTCAGTGGGCAAACGTACAAAATCAGCAGGGGATCAAATACTTTTTTCCCTCACTGTACCTCAATTTTTAACATGTTTCTCTCTAGATGGTGAGCTTTTCACAGCCACTACAAATGACTTCATGGGTAAGACACCAATGGTCTCCCGCCATCTCAGTAAAGATGGTCGCCCAGATGTTAGCCAGGATACCTCAGTGAACTTGGATGGTGAGTGGTCTTCAACAAATAGAGATCAATAGTATTGACATATTTTTGTTGGCACTTACTCCACCATTGCTCGTTGGCCAAAGCATATGGGGTAATGAAGGAGGGTTTTTGGATAAACACCGAAGATAAGGTCTGTGATAACCCACATGAAAAAATTATATAGTATACTATGGTATATGTACATACTAGAGTATTCACTGTAGTGTTTTTGCGGACTTAAATGTAGTATTCACTGTATTGTTTTTCCGGATTTAAATGTAGTATTCACTGTAGTGTTTTTGTGGACTAAAGTCAGCAGTGAATATTGTAGTATTTACTGTAGTATTTACAGTTAACTATAGTATAAATACTGTAGTAAAAGAAAACTGTAGTATATACTATAGTGATTCATGTAGCGTTTTTAATGTAGTATACTGTTGTATTTACTATACTGTTTTTGCAGACTGTAGTATACTGTAGTATTTACTGTAGCATTTTTGCAGACATTATTGTAGTATTTACTATAGTGTTTTTGTTTTATCTTTGACATAGAAGTGCAGGCTTTCTCCTTGAGGAAACCTACTGGAGAAATACTAAAAGAGCACATTTTCCATAGCCTGTCAGTAGGTAGGACTGGGGTCTGAACAGATAGTTCAGAGCTTCTGCTCTTTTCTATAACCTGTAGGGAACACAATATATTGGCATGTTGGTTTTTACTTATGGGTGGCACAAAATGGGATATGGGGAAGGGAATGGAGATATGCTAATTTAATACTGTAGTATTTACTATAGTTTAAAAAAGTGTCGTGTTTTTGCGGATACTACTGTAGTATTTACTATAGTATTCTACAGTATACTACAACATTCTATAGTAAGCACTACACGATTGTGGGATACTACAGTGTGTAGTATAGTATTCTACAGTATATTATAGTTTACTATAGATTTCTATAGTAAGGACTGTAGTATTCTATAGTAAACTGTAGTATTTTTTCATGTGGGTAAACACAGGCTTAGGAGATCTTATATGTTTTGTTCTATAAGATAATCTTCATCAGCTAACGTCACTTTTTGTGAATTTTGAATAATTTATAAAGGTTTCATAATTCAGTATGAAAATGTATGCACTCACTAACTGTAAGTCGCTCTGGATAAGAGCGTCTGCTAAATGACTAAAATGTAAAAATAAATAAAAAATAAAGGTAATGTTAACTGACTGATATTATCTCATAGAACAAAACTTATAAGATATCCTAAGCATGTGATAACCTCAGACCTTAATTTCTAAGTTTATCCCAAAACCCCATTCTTTCCCAATTAATTTCCCCCATAGGAATGGCCGAATGTACCAGAGGTAACTTATTTCCAATTTTTAGGACTACAGGCTGTGCTGATGTTGCTTCCAGAGGCAGTTTGGAACTCGTTGTGAGTGTTGCAACCGAGGACAGACGATTTTTACGCGATATGCGCTTCAGCACTCAGCGGTCCTGTTCTGTGAGCTTGTGTGGCCTATCACTTCGCAGCCATTGTTGCTCCTAAACGTTTCCACTTCACAATAACAGCACTGACCGGGGCAGCTCTAGCAGGGCAGAAATTTGACAAAATGACTTGTTGTAATGTTGGCATCCTATGACGGTGCCATGTTGAAAGTCACTGAGCTCTTCAGTATGGGCCACTACTGCCAATGTTTGTCTATAGAGATTGCATTGCTGTGTGCTGAAATAGCTGAATCCACTAATTTGATGGTGTGTCCACATACTTTTGGCCATGTAGTGTATCTCCTATCTGTGCTTGAATAGGATGTGGTCTTAGATGTTTGTGTAATTTACTTTATTTCAGAGCCCACTTTCGTCAGTTCCGCATCTGACACCAGCGAGGGGAAGGTGTACTTCTTCTTCAGTGAAGTGGGAAATGAGTACAGCTTCCTGGATGAGATCAAAGTATCGCGGGTAGCCCAGGTCTGCAAGGTAAGTAACAGGATGGGGCTTCGATTCCATTTAATATAGGAGAAATCAACATAAATCCAGTTAATGAATTGGGAAACAAATCCTCATTGAATATAATGTGTTAACTTCTCCAATTAATGAATTGAAATTAAATTAATTACCTGAATTGATAGAGTAGGATTTGCCCCCTAAGCCTGATGAATGGTAGGCCAATGTCCCTCCCCATTCTACTATAGCTGATCAACATTCATGCACAGATTTACTGAGTAGGATATGAGAACCCTCTTGAGATGCAACTTCTCTTTTTCACAAGCCAGAAATGTTACTGCTTCCTCTGACAGGAGAGTATTTACAGTGCCTTCAGAAAGTATTCATTCACCTTGACTTAGTCCACATTTTGTTGTGTTATAGCCTGAATAAAAAATGGATTAAATGATTATTTTTTCTCACCCATCTACACACATTACCCCATAATGACAAAGCAAAAACTGGTTTTGGACATTTTTGCGAATGGAAATATTAAAATGGAAATATTACATTTACATAAGTATTCATACCCTTTACTCAGTACTTTGTTGAAGCACCTTTGGCAGCGATTACAGCCTTGAGTCTTCTTGGGGATGACGCTACAAGCTTGGCACACCTGTATTTGGAGAGTTTCTCCCATTCTTCTCTGCAGATCCTCTCTAGCTCTGTCAGGTTGGATGGGGAGCGTTGCTGCACAGCTATTTTCAGGTCTCTCCAGAGATGTTCGATCAGGTTTAAGTCCGGGCTCTGGCTGGGTCCACTCAAGGACATTCAGAGACTTGTCCCGAAGCCACTCCTGCGTTGGCTTGGCTGTGTGCTTAGGGTTGTTGTCCTGTTGGAAGGTGAACCTTCGCCTTAGTCTGAGGTCCTGAGAGCTCTGGAACAGGTTTTCATCAAGGATTTCTCTGTACTTTGCTCCATTAATCTTTGCCTTGATCCTGACTAGTCTCCCGGTCCCTGCCACTGAAAAACATCGCCACAGCATGATTCTGCCACCACCATGCTTCACTGTAGGGATGGTGCCAGGTTTCCTCCAGACGTGACGCTTGGCATTCAGGCCAAAGAGTTCAATCTTGGTTTCATCAGACCAGAGAATATTGTTTCTCATGGTCTGAGAGTCTTTAGGTGCCTTTTGGCACGGGCTGTCAAGTGCCTTTTACTGAGGTGTGGCTTCCATCTGGCCACTCTACCATAAAGGCCTGATTGGTGGAGTGCTGCAGAGATGGTTGTCCTTCTGGAAGGTTCCACAGAGGAACTCTGGAAATCTGTCAGAGTGACCATCGGGTTCTTGGTCGCCTCCCTGACCAAGGCCCTTCTCCCCCGATTGCTCAGTTTGGCCGGGCGGCCAGCTTTAGGAAGAGTCTTTGGTGGTTCCAAACTTCTTCCATTTAAGAATGATGGAGGCCACTGTGTTCTGGGACCTTCAATGCTGCAGAACTTTTTTGGAACCATTCCCAAGATCTGTTCCTCGACACAATCCTGTCTCGGCGCTCTACAGACAATTCCTTCGACCTCATGGCTTGGTTTTTGCTCTGACATGCACTGTCAACCGTGGGACCTTATATAGACAAGTGTGTGCCTTTCCAAATCATGCCCAATCAATTGAATTTACCACAGGTGGACTCCAATCAAGTTGTAGAAACATCTCAAGGATGATCAATGGAAACAGGATGCACCTGAGCTCAATTTCGAGTCTCATAGCAAAGGGTCTGAATAATTATGGAAATAAGGAATTTCTGTTTTTAAACCTGTTTTCACTTTGTCATTATGAGGCATTATGTGTAGATTGCTGAGGATTTGTATTTATTTAATCCATTTTAGAATAAGGCTGTAACGTAACAAAATGTGGGAAAAGTCAAGGGGTCTGAATACTTTCCGAAGGCACTGTATGTCATGATTATTACTAAACAAATATGTTGTCCTTGGGTGTGTCAGGATGACATTGGGGGAGAGCGCATCCTGCAGAAACGCTGGACTTCCTTCGCTAAGGCCGAACTTCTCTGTCAGCCTCCCAAAGAGCTGCCTTTCAATATCATGCAGGATGTGTTCACCCTCGCTCCATCAGAGGGCTACCCCACACAAGATATTATTTTCTATGGTATCTTCACATCCCAATGGTGAGCGAGAGCATGCAAAAGTTTCTCTGCATATGTGAGATGAGATGTCTGGAGGTCTAATGAGATGACCAAACAATTGTGCCAATATTTGGGTTAACTTTCTCACAAAAGAGTTGTTTAAATATTTTTCTTCCCCCTCTTTCACATCTCTCTTTCCTGCTGGCTTCCTAACCTCTGTCTATCTCTCTTCTCTCCCCTTCCACTCCCAGGTCAGTGGCTTCAGGGCAGTCTGCTGTGTGTGCCTTTCGGCTTGGGGACATCAAGGATGTGTTTGCTGGGAATTACAAGATATTCCAAAACCACCAATGGAGTTCTCACACTGACAAGAGTAGCAACCTGGGCAAGGTGTGGATGGGCCATTCCTATACTGTAGAAGTATACACTGAGTATACCAAACCTTAAGAACACCTTCCTAATATTGAGTTGCACCCCCCCCATCCCCCCCGCTTTTGCCCTCAGAACAGCCTCAATTCGTTGGGGCGGGGCAAGTACTCTACAAGGTGTCGAAGCGTTCCACAGGTTCCACAGATTTAACAAGTGACATCAATTAGGGATCATACCTTTCACCTGGATTCACCTCGTCAGTCTGTCATGGAAAGAGCAGATGTTCTTAATGTTTTGTATACTCAGTGTAGATTAGGGTATATGGGCAGGGTTGTGAACAATGTCCTTTCTAAGGATCCATTCTCATGGCTTACCAAATTTTTTGCGGAGTGGCTATAATAGATTTATATAGTTGTAGATTTATGGACTTGTGCAATTAGCCTAATGACCAAATCCTCTTTACCCCCTGTGTTTCCTGTGTGGCAATTGTAATAACTGAGTTTATGGGCCTTTTGTTGTCAGTGTGGGTTGGACAATGCCCCAGACACCACTCTAATGGCAGTCAAGGAAAGTTTCCTAGCCAGTGGAAGTGTGCGTCCGATGGGCAGAGTACCAGTCCTCATCTCCCCTGACCAGCGCTACAGTCGGGTATCTGCACTACGGACACAAGCGGCCAATGGACAGGACTACACCATACTCTTCCTTCTTACTGGTGTGTCATAGTTATTTTCAATCTGGACATTGCTCTTCAATCTTGGTCTGTCAACTACTGTCCAATTGCTCATGTGGTGATACGACTCCCATCCCAAATTTTATGGCAGATTATTTTGTCACAGCACATTTTATTTTGGTTGCAACTTTTGTGTTTCACTCTTCTCTTGGTCAGAGTCTGGGATTCTCCACAAAGCTGTGCTGTTGAACAAGGATACCCACATCATAGAGGAGATCCAAGTGTTCAGACAACCACAACTGGTGAAAAACATACTTCTCTCCACCTCCAAGGTACACATTTGTTAATCTTAACTTTTGTCAATGTATGTTTTCAATGGGCATTTCTCTGTATACTGTGTACTGTGTTTGGCCTTTCATCCACTAAAACCCTTTGATGCCTGTTCCTCCTATCGCAGGGTGTGCTTTATGTGGGGACCTCTGAAGGGGTTACCCAGGTGCCTGTGTCCCAGTGCCCATCCTATAAGAGCTGTGCCCAGTGTGTTTTGGCACGAGACCCCCTCTGTGGCTGGGACCCTGCCAGTGGACACTGTGCCAGTGTGTCTGCCATTCCAGCCAATGCGTGAGTGCAACTTTAGATCTTTAGATTCATCACTGGCCTCCACATACTGCTGGTTCCCTGTGGCATTTCCATCCTTTAAAAAAAATAGTGAAATCGTTGACATCTCAGCCTAGCACTCATGCATGTGTTTGTGCATTGAAGAGAACACTGTCAAGGCACCAATGTTAATGGACATCCCTCTCTCTGTCACCTACCTTTCCATCTCTCTTTCTCTCACTTCATCTTTGCATTTGTGTGTGTTGTTGTTGTCAGACGGCAGGATGTGGAGCATGGCAACGTGACGAAGGAGTGTCAAGGTTCCCTCACAGCCAAACCTCTGCCAGGTGATCACTACAATCAGACACAAGTGTATTGGGATTATAAAGTAATAAAACCAGTAATAAACCATCATATTTAAGCATTGATTGCTCTCTATGTATAACTCACTAATTTGTCTGTGCTCACGTTCTATCCCCAGTGGAGGTATACGCACGGCTAGATGAAGTAGTGAGGTTGAAGTGTTCCACATCCTCCAATCTGGCAACCCTGAGTTGGAAGTCCACCAAAGCAAGCGCTCTGCCCCACCACCTATTCTTTCACTATAGAGATGAGAGTCTGGTCTTCCTGGCCACACCTGACACCTTCGGAATCTACCACTGCATCTCTGTGGAGAGGGGTTATGAGGAGACAGCAGCTATCTACACTGTGAGACAGAGTGTCTCCCCTCGGGCCATTGATACTCCAGCTGTTAAAATCCGGATCACCACAAACATCCAGAGGACCACAGAGACTAAAGACCAGATGACCACCATGATGGAGACTCCAAGCGACACTGAGGAGAAGCTAGACCTCATCACCTTTTGGGAGGATCCAGTCATCACCACAGACGTAACCACAACCAACAAGACTCCAGACATACAGTCCAGGACTGAGAACCTAGAGGACAAGACCCCAAACACCAAGTCTAGTACTGAGAAGCCAGAGGATATGACCCCAGACCCCCAGTCCAGCAGTGAGAAACCAGAAGACATTGTCAACCTCAATGAACCCTCAACAGCCAAGAGTTACCATAGTGAACTGGTGGCAGTATCATTTCTCCTGGCTGTGTGTGTTTGTGTGCTAGTGCTGGGAGGGCTCTATGGGTGGCGCCAGCAGGGCAGATATAAATCGGGCCCCTGGGACACTGCAGAAGGGGGATACAAGGAAGAGGAGGACCCCCTGGAATGTGATCCCCCTGTGGGCAGCAACAAAGTCTCACCTCCCTCTATAAAGGAAGCAGAATGAATGGACTCAGAGAAGATATCTTTCTTCATCGAGTGTCAGTTGTTTTCAAAAGGCATTTAATGACAACACATCAGCTGGATTCGATCTTGTTGAAGATCTATAAATAAGTACATTTTTAAAAAGTGTGTTGGGGGGGGGGGGGGGTGAAGGGCATGTTTGTGTATATACTGTACGTGTGGAGCCTATTTGTCCTCAACTTAAACACAGACAGATAATGCAAATGTTTATTAATTTCAGATTACATTTTTTTTGTTATTCTACATTTCCTCAGCTGCCATTTTTTTCTATAGGCTACAGAACAAGTGGTCTTTATTTTTGTAGGAATGTACATTGTTTTTTTACTAAGCTTACTATAATAAAAAGGAGAAATTACATTTCTGAATCTTTCATATTTCTTGGCTGTCACCAAATAATAGGGGACATGCATAAAGATGGCGGCCCCCATGTACTTACCACAAATGCCTCATTTGCTTAGATCGCCGTATTATGCAGTGCTCTCCATTACTGTTTTTTTTGTATCTGCATTAGCACAGTTAAAAATTCCAATCCTAGCTCCTATAAGGCAGTAATTTGAAAAAGTAGATTGAACAATAGCTTGCGCTGTAGCTAACAACCTGTGACCGTGTTCGAAAGCATCAAAATGACTACAGGTGACATAATGTTGACACTGGTATTGTGCTGGAGATAATGAAAATGAGATTGAAAAGTGAAGGAGTTGCCCTATAAATACCCAGTCGTTAACACCAGCAGATGATCTACAAATCACATTGCATCATAAATAACGACTCATTGTTATTTGTAGATCAGTCAATCAGACACAATTAACCAATGATACATTGCGGTTTTGATCCTTTCGAACACGGCCAATGGGTAGTGCCAGAGACAGTGGCGATTTTAGCATGTAAATCTTGGTGGGGCAAACAAACATTTTTTGGGGGGGGTGCATGCCAGCAAAGCCTCAACACAACACTAAACAATACATTAAATGCACTCAAACGGTGCCCACAAACTGTTAGGGCCTACATAAAGCTGTCCCAACAGCAGAGTCCCAACACCTTACCACTGCTACACCTGGCTATCGCGGAGCCTTGTCTGGCAGCGAAACAGTTAATTCAGCCTCATTTACTGCCTTTTAAAAAAACATAGCTGATATGGCATGTAAATGTATGGCTAACTTGCTTAAACAAATGTTGTTTCTACTGACAATTGAGATGTACAAACTATGGCATAAGGGGACGACAAGCGGATAAGAGGCAATCCGTAATTTTGATTAAGCCGTTAATGAGCGAGCTAGGACGGACGTAGACAATATAACTATTTGTTCAGCCCTTTTGAAATGTACAGTGACAGAATTCAGAACATGGGCCATTCTTACAGTATTCTCCCTGTACACCAAGTCAGAACTGTAGGATAAATAAAGGGGGTATATAAGCAGACAATGAAAGCTCTTACAATATTCGATGATTATGTTTCTCTAAAACAGGTTATAGGCTACATGTGTACCACCAAGTCAGAACAGTAGGTGAAACTAAGAGGGGAAAATAGACCAAATTATTAGGGTGAAGCACATGGGCTACTAACAGCTTACTACACAACATACACTTAGTATTACTTTCTTAGCTACAGTATACATATCTCCCTGGCATATTACATCATTTATGCAGCAGCATACAATACATTTTTGGACTCACCTTGTTGTGGTGTGCTCACTTGAAAAGGAAGGTGGCACGGCGGTCCTTCGTGGGCAAATCTTGTCATCAAACTTTGTCATCAAAGCCTGGCATTCTCTGGATTGATGGTGCTTTCAAAAACAAGGTCGAATCATGATGACGTCAGTGATCTTCAGGTCGTAGCTCTAGAAAGAGGCCCAAGTTCCCGACTTACAATTCGGAGTTGGATGACCATTCAAAACATATTTAGCCAGTCGGAGCTTGTTTTTCCCCGAGTTCCCAGTTGTCGTGACCTCACTGAAGTCAGATTTCCCAGTTCCGAGTTATCAGTTGTTTTGAGCGCTGCAGAAGTCATGCTGGATTGAAAGAATGTCCAATGTTGAAAGTTTATCATTTTAAGCTTGGAAAAGAGACCTTTCAACCCAGAATTGGGACCACACACCCACTCGACTGAATAGCAGGCTAGTGATTGCTTTGCAATGCTTGCAGTTAGCCACTGATTCCTTCCAAACCACTCATTGATGAATTTGCGATTTCCAACTTGTTGTGTAATGTTTTATCTATAATTTCTCTTCATTATTTCTCTTCATATGACAAGGATTAAAAAGGATTTGCCAGTAGATTGTCGACTTGATTCATGATGATGACTGCTTGCTAAGATTTTGAAAGTATGATGTTGACATGATCAGTCCAATCAAAGCTACTGTAGATATAATGTGATTTGATGTCATTTTATCTGTGGCCAATGACCTTGAGCCTTCTTGGATGGGCACTTCTAATGTAACTCAATGGCAGCACCCAAGGGGCTTGAATTTTTTTGCTCTACCCTTATATTTGAGTGACAGAACACTAAGCCAATCACGGCACAACTAGAGAACATTACCAACCCCTTGCTCTGTATTTTCCGCTGGCTGCCCCACCACCACAGAAAGCACTGAGCTAGGCTTAAACACCTACATTTTGGAGCTGCGTTACTCAAGAAAGCAAAAAAAGAGACCATGTTTGTATGGAGGCTTTATTAACTCAATCATTCTTTTTTTTCACATTGTTTGCAAACTGATATGTGACACGTATTAATGCCAAAGTAACATGCAAAACAGGCAAAAAAAATTACCCTTACCGTGCAAAGCTGTCATCAAGGCAAAGGGTGGCTACTTTGAAGAATCTCAAATATAAAATATATTTTGATTTGTTTAACACTTTTTTGGTTACTACATGATTCCATATGTGTTATTTCATAGTTTTGATGTCTTCACTATTATTCTACAATGTAGACAATAGTAAAAAATAAAGAAAAACCCTGGAATTAGTAGGTGTGTCCAAACTTTTGACTGGTACTGTACATCAAACACATGCTTTCAGGTGTTTGATGCCATTCCATTTGCTTTGTTCCAGCCATTATAATGAGCCATTCTCCCACCCGTAGTCTGCGCTCCAGCAGGTATATCTCACTGGTCATTCCCAAAGCCAACACCTCCTTTGGCCGCCATTCCTTCCAGTTCTCTGCTGCCAATGACTGGAACGAATTACAAAAATCTCTGAAGCTGGAGACTCTTATCTCCCTCAATAACTTTAAGCATCAGTTGTCAGAGCACCTTACCGATCACTGCACCTGTACACAGCCCATCTGAAATTAGCCCACCCAACTACCTCATCCCTATATTGTTATTTATTTTGCTCTTTTGCACCCCAGTATCTCTATTTGCACATAATCTCTTGCACATCTAGCATTCCAGTGTTAATACTATTGTAATTATTCTGCACTATAGCCTATTTATTGCCTTACCTCCATAACTTGCTACATTTGCACACACTGTATATATATTTTCTGTTGTATTTTTGACTTTATGTTTTTTTACCCCATATGTAAATCTGTGTTGTTTTTATTGCACTGCTTTGCTTTATCTTGGCCAGGTCACAGTTGTAAATGAGAACCTGTTCTCAACTGGTTTACCTGGTTAAATAAAGGTGAAATAAATAAAATAAATAAATAAAAAAGCAGCCTCCCTGCCTTAAACCATACTCTTACCCTAACCCTTAACTAACCCATACCTTAACCTTTTTAAATGGGGTGACATCATAGTTGGGACGTCCCAAGGAGACGCTTTTGACTTTCCCATAAAAAATTAGAAGTAGGTGTAGAGGTAGGTGTGTTTTCTAGTAAATGACCCGGGGCATGGGGATATTGGCAAAGGCATTACAGTATGAAGATATGCAGAAACTGCGAAATCCCCGATCACGCTTGTAGGCGATGACATTGCGACGTTGGCTAATGCCGCGTTCAAAACAACTGGGAACTCGGAAAAGTACGAGGTAAAATCATAACGTCAGCGATCTAAAGGTCGTTAAATCCAGCTCTAGAAAGAGGCCCGAGTTCAAATAGATTTTTCCCAGTCGAAGCTCGTTTTCTTTTCGAGTTCCCAGATGTTTTGAACGCACTGAAGTAGGAGATTTCCGAGTTCCGAGCTCCCAGTTGTTTTGAACGAGGTGGAATTCCGAGTTGGATGACGGTTCAAATAGATTTTCCCAGTCGAAGCTCGTTTTCTTTTCGAGTTTCCCAGATGATTTGAACAAACTGAAGTCGGAGATTTCCGAGTTCCGAGCTCCCAGTTGTTTTGAACGCGGTTGGAGTAATAACATGTTCAAATGCTTAAGACATTGGCTCGAATCTATGTTGTGCCTTTTAGATTTCGAGAAAATTAACAACTAAGGAATTATTTTTCACTTCTCTCATTGACTTCTCAAATCCCGGCCTGGTCTGCTTCGCAAGCGTTCCCAGAAGTCTCGCGATGTTGCGTCTCTGGGTTTAGAAACTGTGATATTGGTGCTTTCAAGACAACTGGGATCTCGGAAAACACTAGAACAGATCAATACGTCAGTGATCTCAGGTCGGAAAGTTGCAGCTCTAGAAAGATGCCCGAGTTTCCGACTTGGAATTACGAGTCGCATGACCGTTCAAAAACGATATTTCCCAGTCGGAGCTCGGTTTTTTCCGAACTCCCAGTTGTCATGAACGGACTGAAGTCAGATATTTCCGAGTTCCTAGTTGTGTTGAACGCGGCATATTATATAATTAAAAAGAGCAGATGCATCCGGGATCTGTAAACATTGAAAAAGCAGTGTAGATTATATCCTGGTTTTTTCCGTTAGCTGTTCCTGCACCAGGAAAAAGTGGACAAGGGGTAAATTGTCACAAATGTTGGCTAAATTAATGTTGATTAGGCGATTTATGTTAACAGCTGTAGGCATATTAAATGTAGTCATTTGCAAGCTTCCATAGAGTTATAGTTTTGAATTTCCATTGAAATACAGAACACAGATTTACAAGTACAACTCAAATGTGGCGTGAAAAGTGTTATAATATACTGTAATCATTGACTGTTGTCAATATTGTATTGATTTATTTAAAATGTGTCAATATTGTATTGATTTATAAAAAATGTCAGTGATGCTAGTGTCAAAGTTGCGTCAATTCAAATCTGGTATTAGGAACAAAAGAGGTCAACACGACTTCTAAAATATACTAGTTATTTTAATTAATGCAAAAACCTTCAATGGTAAATATGATGTTTCGTATATACGGGCTCTTTGAAATACCTCGCAGGGCACTTCAGAGAACTAAATCCATTGTTTCAGATTGTTCTTCAAATACTCTTACAGAGAGAGTTTCCCACCTCTCTGCTGGCCAATCAGAGTAGAGACTTGAGCGTGGTTTAGACTTACTCAGCCTATCCGTTGGCGCACTGGCTGTTCCCCGCCTCTTCTGTTACCAGGCATACGTTTATCATAACAACCTGTCATAGTGAGAAGAGACAGCTCCCCTAGACACCATTCCTACGTCCAAGGATGGTTCACAGATCACAAAGAACCAGTATAGTCTAGCATTTGGAGACACAAATCCTTATCTCATTTTACCCCCTAAAACAGCTCTTCACATCCATCACAGCTTGCCAGGTGACACAACCTACATTAGCCCAGTCAAGAATGCATTCTTTCTAAGTTAGTCATCCCATCAATTATAAAAAATAATAAATCTCTCACACTAGTCTCCTTTGCGAGACCTAAGAAAATACCATTCTGTGATAGGTTCCTCTGTTTTTGATCATTTGAAATACACCTACATTTTACTCTTCAAAACTCAATTTTGTTCTTCAAAAGTTTAAAATAGCCTAATGTTGAAATGTTATTTCTAAACCAAGGTCAACCTAGAGAATGCGTAGGCTATCTGTAATGCCATAATAAACACTGACAAAATATCTGCAGCTGTATTAAAGTATCAAGCTTTCAGTGTGTAGTATGTTTTCTTCTCAGGTGTTTGTTGTCGTCAACCACCCAAATAAGGATCATAAACCATGGCCTCCTCTATCACCACTGCAAATGGAGTTGTGATCGTGACACAGGTGTTCCCCTTGGGGGAGACTGGCAAGGCTTCAGTGCCACTTCTGAATGTCACTCCCCAAATCCAGAGTGCGCCCCCTGCTATGCCACTGCCGACCACTAAAGTGTCAGAGATGACAAGGGTGTTCCTGCAGGTTCAGCCACAATCTCTCGGGGTGAGAACAGAATATTACTGTCCTTTGACTTTAGTGCTCATTCCATCCATTTGCCATTTGATTCAATCATCGGCTGTGATATTGTAGAGATCTATATTTAACGTCCTTTGAGGGCAATTTGATTTAGAAGAAAACATGTAGGCTAAACTGTGAACCTCTATTAGTTACCATTTCCCCTATTTTTACTCAATGTTCCCCGAATTACTGTTGTGTCTCAGATTGTGCAGATCATCCTTGGATTGGTGTGCATGGTGGTGAGCCTGTCTGCTCTTCTGTCCCCTACCCTGTATGACCAGGTCCCTCTCTTCATGGGAGTTGCTGTAAGTTCTGGGTCCCAAGGGGGCAAGTAATATCCTACACACTTAATGCTACACTGACACCTGCAAGTTTAGAGATGTTTCCTCAGAGTGAATATGGCGTCATCTATGTTACACTAGTCCTATTGTAACCTAGAAAAGTAGGTGAACAAGCAGGAGAACGGACTTCAGATCAGCACTCATGATCAAAGGGCATCCCACACCCACAGGAGACAGCAGAACTTGTTTATTTATGAAGTGTAGGCCTCTACAGTAGGTGACATTGGATATGGCAGTTTATTGGACAGCACCACCTTAGCTTCATATGTCAATAGTCTAAAGTGTCTTTCTCTCCTGTGTTGTTGCTCACTCTCCAGTTTGTCCTCTCTGGATCTCTCACTGTGGCTGCCCGGAAAGGAACAGGTTTGAGTCTGGTAAGTCATTCACTGCGACTGTGGTAAATAGCAGTGTGCACTTCAAGTTTGCTTCATTAGATTGATAATTTGCGATTTATATCAGAAATTGATATTGCTATTAGGAAGTAAATCAGGAGATAATTTTCTAGACCAAAACTCACAAACCAAAAATCTAACCAATTAGAACAGTTAAGAGATTTCCTATGTCCATATATTTTAAACAAAACAAACTAACATTGTCATGCAATGGTTGTTCAGTTTCCCCTCCTCTCCATTTCCCACCCTGTCAGATTAAAGGGACTCTGGCTGTGAATGTTTTCAGTGTTCTTGTGGCCCTGGCTGGGGTTGCATATATTTGCATGCTGCTGACTGTAAAACATGAAGATGGTTTCTGCACCCCAACTGATGGAAACTATACTTCAGATTCCAACCAGAACAGGATACGGGAATGCACAACAATGGTTAGGACAATAGATGTAAGTATTTATGGAAGTGACCTGGTTCATGTAATTTTTCTGTATTTATTTGTTATACTAACTTCAGAGAACTCAGTAACCTTCCAAACACGAGGTTGGTGGCACCTTAATTTGGGAGAACGGGATCGCGGTAATGGCTGGAGCAGAATAAGTGGAATGGTATCAAATACATCACACACGGTTTCTATGTGTTTTATGCCATTCCATTTGCTCCGTTCTGGCAATTATTATGAGCCATTCTCCCCTCAGCAGCCTCCTGTGGTTCCAAACAGTTTGTTTATTAAAGGTTGCAAGGAGCTAGAGAAATACATCTTTGCAGGCTTATTTACATTTTAATATAATTACGAGATACCGTTGATATTGTTTTATCAGGATGAGAAACCTGAACAAAACTTGTAAATCCTTCTAAAGTTCCAATGCAAATCATTAGCCCAACCGTTGATACATATTCCTCTTGTTTTACCTCTGTGCATCAGAAAGTATTGAATGGGGTAAAGGGCCTATTGCTGGTCCTGACGGTGATGGAGCTCTGTGTGGCTCTCACTGTCTGCGTCTTCTCTGGGAAAGCCATTCACCTCCGTGGGCACTACAGCCTGAGCAATGGCCGTGGCCGGGGGATGGTAAGATTGAGAACGCTGCAGTCATCGCTTACATCAACAGGTTAACAGTATGTGGAACAGGCAGAGAGTGCAGCAGCTGTACATTAAAAAAGTACAGTCTTACAGTAGCTCAAACATGTAATGCTGTGGGACATGAACCATTTTGTAGATCAGTAAAGGGGTTTATGCTTTGGACCTTTGTTTAGCTTCTTGCGATAGATAATGTAATAGTTTAGTTTATTAGGATCACCATTAACTATTGCACATGCAGCAGCTACTCTTCCTGGGGTCCACATAAAACGTAAAAATGCATGACAAAATATAGAACAGTAATAGACAAGAACAACATAAGATATTACATTCAATCTAAATTAAAATCAGAGTTATAACATATATAATTATAGTTATGATAAATATGAGACTAACGAACTGAGCTGATTTAAATGTAGGTGTTCAGTAGAGTGTTCAGTGATGGGGTTGAATGAGTGACTGAGTGAGTGTGTGTGTGTCAGTAAGGGTCCAGTGAAGGAGACAGAGGAAGAGGCTTGCCCACCTTGCAGTTGTCACAACAGGTGCCATCGGAGGAACACTGGGCCCCAGGAACTTTCCGAATGCACTGTATGTCCAAGCATACACCATACAAACAGGACAAATACCCCTGCAAAGAGGATCACCACTTCTCCAATTTCTACGGAGACACTGTGGTAGGTATTTTCTTCAATACCCCTGAATTCAAGCAAAGACCAGATGTAGATTGGCTCTGTGTTGCTGCATCTGTTAACATGACCATGACACTGGTGTGGTGTGTAAATGTATCCTATGTTGTGTGTCTCTGCATGGCTTCCTGTGAAGCTCCTGATCAACCGTATGCTGGGCATTCTGATTGGTTTCTTGGTGCTGGAGATGCTGATCAGTGTGGTGGTTATTCTGTGCACCATTGGTACTGACAGCCCAGAGGTAAGAACCATCTCCTCACAACCTAATTTTGGCCTGCGTTTACACAGGCAGCCCAATTTTGATCTTTTTTTCATGAATTGGTCTTTTGACCAATCAGATCTGAAAAAGATCTGATGTGATTGGTCAAAAGACCAATTAGTGGAAAAAATATCAGAATTGGGCTGCCTGTCTAAAGGCAGCCTTGATGTCACTTTCTGATTTGGTGACTAGATTCACTCAGACTAGATATGTCCCTCTCCTCCCTGCTCAGGTCCCTCAGGAAAAGACTGAGTCCCCTCTGTGTGTTCCCAGCAGCACTGGGAACACACACTGTGCCCCCCTGGCCCTCATGGTGATGTCACCACAGTGGTGGCACTGTAATGAAACAGTCAGACATGATGATAAAGGGCAAATCTCTGGCCTAGTGGCAAGAAAAAAAAGGGGGAAAACACCTTACTGTTATGCTTGCCTTTCTTGCACTAAAACACTTGCACTTGTGTTTTCTTACTAGCACTGATTCTGCTGAAAGCTGCTTTGTTGAGGAACGTTTTACTTACAATGATTGTGATATGTGGTACAACTATTGTGATATGCGGTTGTCTTACCTAGCTAGTAGCCCATTACAAACACTTTGAATAACAAATTCACTACATGGAACAACAGATAGTCCCCCCCCTAAAAAATCAAAAGGAAGTTTTTTTTTCTCTCTCCATGTATTTAACCCCTTATTTTTGCCACTGTCCATATATACTTCCATTCATTTTTTCAACTGGTACCTGGGGACCTTCAGATGAGTCTTGTGTGGCCTGTGGGCGTCCTAAAACAAAATAACGAGAAGTACGTGTTCGTGTTCACCTTTCCATAGAGGTGTGTAGCCCAAACTGTTTGGACACTACAGGCAGAAGTTGGCATTTCTTACTTCAGAGGAGTCCCAAGATGCTTATGGGTGCCATAGAGCAAAACGGAGAACACCACCGTGTTAGTGAGAGTCTCATCTTTCCATAGAGGGGTAAATAATAATAATAATAATAATAATAATAATAATACTAATAATAATAATAAATGTTCGGAGACTACAGACGATTTTGTGAGAAGACCGATTTTCGGAATGTATCATGGTCTAACAAACACTGCTCAAGCTCTGTCACCTTTCACCGCAGATGCGGATGTTGTGTATTGAGAAGCACCCAATGCAAAAAAAAAAGAGATATCTATAGTTTAAACTTTTGTTATGGGGATTTGTTATTATTATGCTAATTTGATTTCCATGGGGGCACGGACATCGACATTAGGGGGTTTTAAACTTTGAGTGCAGCCGTGGATAGAATGGCTGGTGGATCTAAGGACTCGAAAACAGGGAGGACAGGTGCAGCTTTTATTGTTCTTGAGTTCAGGGTGGCAGTGACAAAAAGAGCAATGGATAATTTATCTGTATACACAATGGAGTTGCTGGCCATGCTCATGGCTGCAGAGTGGGTGGAGGAGGTGAGGCCAGATGGAGCAGATGACTACCCTGACTCATGTGCTGCACTGATGAGCTTAAATTCATTTGTGTCACGGAGCAGACAAGATGTATTGTATGAGATTTTGCAGTGCCTGTTTAGGGTGAGACAGATGGGGGTAGTTGTGAGGTTCCTCTGGGTACCAACTCCTGTGAGAGTAGAGGGGAATGAGGAAGTGGATGTTCTTGCCAAGCAGGGTCTCAAACATCCTAGTATTGAAATGGAATTGTCAATCAGTAAAGCACAAGCCAATGGGTTAATAAGAACAGTGGTCAAAAACAAATGGCAGGAGTTGTGGGAAAGGGAAGACTCCTGTATAAGATCCAGGAAAAGGTGGGGGCAGGGAGGTCCTAAGGTCGAGAGAGAAGGGAGGAAAGTGTAATCACAAGGCTGAGACTGGGACACACAAAGCTCAACAGTACATTAACATTTGTCGGAAAACATCTGACTGGGAGGTGTGATCACTGTCAGGAGGAGATGGAGACAGTGGAAAATTGGTTATTTCAGTGCCAGCAATATGGGAGGGATTGTTATCAGATTTAAGGATACAAATATAATATATGCTATTTAGCAGATGCTTTTATCCAAAGCGACTTTGTCGTGCGTGCATACATTTTACGTATGAGTGGTCCAGGGAATTGAACAAACTACTCTGGCGTTACAAGCGCAATGCTCTACCAACTGAGCTACAATGGTGTTGAAGGGCCAAGCTTAAATTAATTGCTTCAGGGGATGTAGTATTTAATTATGTATTTAGTTTCCTTAAAGGAAAACTCCACCCAAAAACTATCGTTTGGTATATGTTTCATTATTCCATTGTTGATATAGTCCCAAAATGTTTACATTGACAGCATTCTTACAGAAATACAGGCCGTTTGATGCATTTTGCATAATATGATGATGCTGCCATTTCCATCATATGATTCATAAAGCATCATACCAGCTGTATTTCTGTAATGTGAAGTTAAACTGTATATCTTGAAAACTTTATTGCTGACATGCAACACATATTGAGTCTATATCAACAATGGACTAATGAAAAAATACCAAAAGATAGTTTTTGGGTGGAATTTTCAGGAGACGAGAATAATGGGTAGGAAGAATAATGGGTAGGATATCGTTTTTAGACCTTCCTTTTCTCTGGTCCACACTCCAGTCCAGTTTGTTGCGGTAAAGCACATTAAAGTTGGTTGCCAACCGCCATATATAAACCGAAGAAGAAGAAGAGCAACATGTGATTTCAATGTAGCCAATGAATGTAGGTAGCTAGCTATATGTACATTTGTGTTTGTATTCCTTGGATTTGACAGCTAGCCATACAAGCTAAGAAAATAGGTGGGCAGGAAACAATTTTGTTGCAAGAACCATCGACCTAGCGAACAAGGCAGGAGCCCACACTGGATAGATAGATAGATGGATAGCTAGTTAGTTAGCAAATGCAGCTTGGAAATTAATCATAATGACAGTAAGCTATAGAGCTAGCTTAGTTATCAAAATACTTAAGTGAACTGCAATGGGATGTCAATTGCGCTACTCATTTGAACAAATGTGTAATGTGGTAATATTAGCCAGCTAGCTAACGTGCATTGCCATTCTTATATCGCTATCAGAATTCTGATTTGGTTATCGCTCGCTGGATTCTCTTACACATTTTGTAAATCAGGCTAGCTAACGTTGCTAGCTATTTTTCAGGTGCATTAAACTACTGTATCTATCAATAAGGAGAATAATTGACAACCATGGAAAAAGTCACGAAAATACTGGTTCATCTGTCGAAGAATAATGTCGCACCGCAATGTGCACGTTTTGTGCAGGTCAGTTGTGCATGTGCTATGTTTTTGTTAATTGTCACTTCAACACTAGCCAAATGCCAATGTCACGTGGAATTTATGAAAACGAGGTGCGCGTGGGTGCTATGGCGGTGTTTGGTTTTTACTGTAGGACCATTTTAAAGGGGTAGTTCACCCAAATTACAATAATACTGTACATATACACTACATGACCATAAGTATGTGGACAACTGCTCGTCGAACATCTCATTCCAAAATCATGGGCATTAATATGGAGTTGGACCCCCCTTTGCTGCTATAACAGCCTCCTCTCTTCTGGGAAGGCTTTCAACTAGCTGTTGGAACATTGCTGTGGGGACTTTCTTCCATTCAGCCACAAGAGCATTATTGAGGTCGGGCATTGATATTGGGCGATTAGGCCTGGCTCGCAGTCGGCGTTCCAATTCATCCCAAAGGTGTTCGATGGGGTTGAGGTCAGGGCTCTGTGCTGGCCGTCAAGTTCTTCCACACCGATCTCTACAAACCGTTTCTGTATGGACCTCGCTTTGTGCACAGGGCATTGTCATGCTGAAACAGGAAAGGGCCTTCCACAAACTGTTGCCACAAAGTTGGAAGCACAGAATTGTTTAGAATGTCATTGTATACTGTAGTGTTAAGATTTCCCTTTACTGGGACTAAGGGGCCTAGCCCGAACCATGAAAAACATCCCCAGACCATTATTCCTCCTCCACCAAACTTTACAGTTGGCACTATGCATTGGGGCAGGTAGCGTTCTGGCATCCGCCAAACCCAGATTCGTCCTTCGGACTGCCAGATGGTGAAGCGTGATTCATCACTCTAGAGAATGCATTTCCACTGCTCCTGAGTCAAATGGCGGCAAACTTAACAGCACTCGAGCCGACGCTTGGCATTGCGCATGGTGATCTTAGGCTTATGTGCGGCTGCTCGGCCATGGAAACCCATTTCATGAAGCTCCCGACTAACAGTTCTTCTGACGTTTGGAACTCGATAGTGAGTGTTGCAACTGAGGACAAGCAATTTTTAAGCACTTCAGCACTCGGCGGTCCCGTTCTGTGACCTTGTGTGGCCTACCACTTTGCGGCTGAGACGTTGTTGCTCCTAGACGTTTCCACTTCACAATACAGCACTTATAGTTGACCAGGGCAGCTCTAGCAGGACAGAAATGTGACAAACTGACTTGTTGGAAAGGTGACATCCTATGACGGTGTCACATTTTAAAGTCACTGAGCTCTTCAGTAAGGCCATTCTACTGCCAATGTTTGTCTATAGAGATTGCATGGCTGTGTGCTCTATTTTATACACCTGTCAGCAATGGGTGCGGCTGAAATAGCCAGAATCCACTAATTTGAAGGGGTGTCCACATACTTTTGTATATATAGTGTATATTTCCTTAATCTATGGGCCAGAGATTGCCATCCATAATCTGAATTTGTATATTGATAACCAAAAAACAATGACTGAATGGACCCATAGCAGGCCTAGTACTTTCCCCTCCAAAATACATTGAAATTAAGGAATTTAGCTAAGTGGTTAGCCTTTATTCTTCTAGTTGCTGACACTTCAAAGGTTGTTATGAGGTGAATTATGCAACAGTTAAAAAACTTCTTTTTTTTACCACTTAATTTTCTGTTAGAGCATAACAGGTCATTTTACAGAGACTCTTGATGATGAGGTGGAGGTGAAGTGTTCTTTGGAGAACAATCGCTTTATACTGTGCGACTGCGAGAAGGGGAGAGGAATTCCCCTAAAGGTAATGGCTCAATGAAACACATTCAATTTAATAAACTGATAGGTTTAATTGTTTTATCAATTGTGGTCACATTTCCATACCTCAGACAGTTGTTGTTTTGTGTATCCCATAGAAATAATTGTTGGTTGACTGAAAAAGTGTAATGGAAAATGTTTGAGTTTATTTGGTTGATATGTTTTTTTCTCAGAGGGCATCCTTTTGCCCCTTCAAGTATCTGTCTGTCGCAGAGGCAGCTGCAATCCCATTGGACGTTCAGAGCCGCGGAGTGGACGTGGGGGTTGCTATTCTTCTGCAGTCAGCCAATCAGAAGGTGTTGTTAACTCGACGGTCGTCCAGTCTTCGCATTTTCCCCAAATGTGTGGGTTCCACCAGGTATGGCATCATTCTGCGGAAGTAACCTTTCAAAATGAAATGGCATTCCATAGGAAGACATATTGGGTAACCCAATTGACCTTACTGATGTTTCCTGATATTGAAACCTTTTTTATTTCAGGTGGCCATGTGGAACTGGATGAGAGGGTAACGTTTCTAGATGCTATAGCTATTAAACAGTGGAAGATAAATTAGATTATTCCCCATAAGTGTCTTTGCCTGTGGTTTCAATCCCCTCATGGTCTCTGGGGTCAATTCCCTTTTAGCTCAATCAAGCTTGTTCTGTGTGTTTGCCTCATATCTCTCTTGTTTGTCAGCTCCTGGATGCGGGGCTGAGGGAGCTGAGGGAGGAGACAGGACTGAAGCTGGACCCTGGAGACGTCTCAGCTCAGCTGCTGGGGCTCTGGGAGGTGTGGAAACCACTGTCACTACACATCACATTTCTAGCCCCAGAGAATAGTTTGTTAAATAATAATATGTAAATGCATTAGAAAAACCTACTGGCCACAATTCCATACACATTTGATGGTCCTCTGTAGCTCAGCTGGTAGAGCACGGCCATTGTAACGGCAAGGTAGTGGGTTCGATCCACGGGACCACCCATACACAAAAAAAATGTATGCACGCATGACTGTAAGTCGCTTTGGATAAAAGCGTCTGCTAAATGGCATATTATTATTATATAAATTCTGATTTGTCTGACAGTCCTGTTTGCTCATGTTGGCTCAAATGTTTGTTCATTTTGTCTCTTCACAGTCAGTTTTCCCGCCCATGCTGAGCAGAGGGATGCCACAGAGGCACCATGTGGTCACCTACATGCTCCTAAACACCTCCCTCACACACCAGCAGCTCCAGGTGTCTGTCTGCCTGCCTGTCTGCCTGCCTGTCTGCCTGCCTGTCTGTCTGTCTGTCTGTCTGCCTGCCTGTCTGGTGTTATCATTAAAGGAACACAAATCAAAGAGAATGCCTCTGACTCACTAAAGACTATCTTTGTTCCAGGCCTCTCTGCACCCCGAACCCGCTGAGGTCAGTGGTTGTCTGTGGGTGGATGCCTCGCTGGTCAAGGCCATCGTGTCCGCCGTGGACGGAGAGGAGGGTTCTGGAACACCGCAGGAGGGCCTAGCTCCAACCATAAGGTACATCACATCCACAAAGTAATGTACTCAAAACATAACAGACATTAAAAATAGATTATATACTGTACCATTGACAAGTATTTCCTCTGACATTAATTATTTAATCGGTTTCCTCGTAACAATGTTGGCATTTTGTTTCTGTGGTGTTGGTTCTCCAGTGTATCGGAGGTCTCTCCGGAAGGTGGGCTCAGTGAGTCAGTTCTGCCATTATCTGTTTTGTGTAACCGGGCCACGGCTAGCGGAGAGGATGTGGAGCGGGTAAGCACTGGTACCAAATATGCCCTGGAGCTCTGGCTTAAGAACTTGGAGGGACAGGGGACCCGGTGTTAACTGTCTTCACTAAACCCGGACGTCTAGCCCTGTGATGAAGTGACTTCCTGGAGGATGACATCGCTTCCTGGAGTTTGCCTTAACCGGTGAAGGTCACCTAAAGTGAACTATCATCTTTTAAAAAAATATTGTACGGATTAACCAATAATGAACTTTGGGTGAACTATCCCTTTAATATCAACAGCAACACCTACAAGTCTTATCTGGCTGTTTGAGGGCTTTGCATGAGCTATCAATTGTGTTGTGTGTAAAAACAGTTTTTATTGCAAGGATGTTGTTAGTGATGAAATGTGATGGAACAAAGTGGATTTACACTGCAGATGCTTTTATGATCATTATATTCCATTTGCGCCTTCAAGCCACAAGATGGCAATGCATAGCCTACACAGTGATTTCACATATGGAAACGAGCGCGAAAACAATCAGAATTCTGATTTAAGTTTACATAATTATCTTGACTTGTAAATAAGAATGTGTTCTTAACTGACTCTCCTGGTTAAATAAAGGTAAAATAAAAATACATTCTAAATGTAATTTTTTTGTTTTGTACTATACTCAGACAGAAGTTAGGTGTCAAGTTAGTTAGGTCTTCATTGTAAAGTTGAACACATAAATATTGTGTTGTACTTTCAACTGAAGATATTCAATATTTGTTTGCAGTGATTCAGTAATTAACATTTAAAGACTACTATTTTATATGTCATAAGTGGAACGTGTGTGTGTGTGTGTGTCATATAACGAAACCAATTTTCTCACCCACACCCAGATTAATATATGTACATTATGGCAACCTCACCCATGGATAAGATAATGGCAATTTTTTATCTGCCATTTTCAATTAGAAATCTTGAACGTTAAATGGGGGAGGGTAATAATGAAATGTAAAACAGTTTTAGAACAGTTTTCTACAGTAACTAATTAACTAAGTGACTACAACATCAACCAGTCAGAATCTGCCATAAAATGATTGGAAGGGTTTGATTTCTCTAATTCATCATAAGTCATTACATTTTAATGTCACTAGGAATGACAACAAGAGTTGGAGCACAATCTTCATCAGATCCTGAACTATGTCTGTATTGGTGATGTCATGATATTACTGTATAGGTTATGTTTTCTAGATTTGTCTTATCGTCATAATGTGTCACTTGTCGGATTTGTTTATAAGTTACATGAGTGACTCAATGACTTGTTCATTACCACTAATGTATTTGTGTCTGCATACCTCTCACAGACCTGTAACTTCTTCTTTAAGAGGCTCCTCTGTCCTCCACTCGTTACCTGTATTAATGGCACCTGTTTGAACTTGTTATCAGTATAAAAGACACCTGTCCACAACCTCAAACAGTCACACTCCAAACTCCACTATGGCCAAGACCAAAGAGCTGTCAAGGACACCAGAAACAAAATTGTAGACCTGCACCAGGCTGGGAAGACTGAATCTGCAATAGGTAAGCAGCTTGGTTTGAAGAAATCAACTGTGGGAGCAATTATTAGGAAATGGAAGACATACAAGACCACTGATAATCTCCTCGATCTTGGGGCTCCACGCAAGATCTCACCCCGTGGGGTCCAAAATGATCACAAGAACGGTGAGCAAAAATCCCAGAACCACATGGGGGGACCTAGTGAATGACCTGCAGAGAGCTGGGACCAAAGTAACAAAGCCTACCATCAGTAACACACTACGCCGCCAGGGACTCAAATCCTGCAGTGCCAGACTTGTTCCCCTGCTTAAGCCAGTACCTGTCCAGGCCCGTCTGAAGTTTGCTAGAGTGCATTTGGATGATCCAGAAGAGGATTGGGAGAATGTCATATGGTCAGATGAAACCAAAATAGAACTTTTTGGTAAAAAACTCAACTCGTCGTGTTTGGAGGACAAAGAATGCTGAGTTGCATCCAAAGAACACCATCCCTACTGTGAAGCATGGGGGTGGAAACATCTGCTTTGGGGCTATTTTTTCTGCAAAGGGACCAGACGACTGATCCGTGTAAAGGAAGAATGAATGGGGGCCATTCATTGAGTGAAAACCTCCTTCCATCAGCAAGGGCATTGAAAATGAAACGTGGCTGGGTCTTTCAGCATGACAATGATCCCAAACACACCGCCCGGGCAACGAAGGAGTGGCTTCGTAAGAAGCATTTCAAGGTCCTGGAGTGGCCTTGCCAGTCTCCAGATCTCAACCCCATAGAAAATCTTTGGAGGGAGTTGAAAGTCCGTGTTGCCCAGCGACAGCCCCCAAAAACATCACTGCTCTAGAGGAGATCTGCATGGAGGAATGGGCCAAAATACCAGCAACATTGTGTGAAAACCTTGTGAAGACTTACAGAAACGTTTGACCTGTGTCATGCCAACAAAGGGTATATAACAAAGTATTGAGAAACTTTTGTTATTGACCAAATACTTATTTTCCACCATAATTTGCAAATAAATTCATTAAAAATCCTACAATGTGATTTTCTGGATTTTTTTTCTTCTCATTTTGTCTGTCATAGTTGTGTACCTATGATGAAAATTACAGGCTTCTCTCATCTTTTTAAGTGGGAGAACTTGCACAATTGGTGGCTGACTAAATACTTTTTTTCCCCACTGTACATGCTTGAATAATGTTTGGTTACACTGTTAGCTTAAGATTGCATTCTGTCTTCGCCCTTTTGGTCTTTTTGGTTGATTGCTTTTTAAGCCCAGCCAACCGATAAATCATATAGTCTCTGAGGTCATAATCAAACAATGACCTCAATGTGTCAACAATAAGAACTGATCTTATTTGTTTTGGTTGAAAGTTTCTCTCTGATTGATTATCTTCCTGCTTAACAGTATTAGTAACAGCAACCACTGTGATGTTTTCCTGGAAAAATACACAATGCATCTGTAGAAAGACATACCTAATACAGACTACATAGGTAGGGGATATTGAGACGAAGGGACATACAGTGCATTCGGAAAGTATAGAAATTTATGCACATTTATTAAAAATAAAAAACAGAAATACATTATTTACATAAGTATTCAGACCCTTTGCTGTGAGACTCGAAACTGAGCTCAGGTGCATCTTGTTTCCATTGATCATCCTTGAGATGTTTCTACAACTTGATTGGAGTCGACCTGGGGTAAATTCAATTGATTGGACATGATTTGGAAAGGCACACACCTGTCTATATAAGTTCCCACAGTTGACAGTGCATGTCAGAGCAAAAACCAAGCCATGAGGTCGAAGGAATTGTCTGTAGAGCTCTGAGACAGGATTGTGTAGAGGCACAGATCTGGGGAAGGGTACCAAAACATTTCTGCAGCATTGAAGGTCCCCAAGAACACAGTGGCCTCCATCATTCTTAAATGGAAGAAGTTTGGAACCACCAAGACTCTTCCTAGAGCTGGCCGCCCGGCCAAACTAAGTAATCAGGGGAGAAGGGCCTTGGTCAGGGAGGTGACCAAGAACCCGATGTTCACTCTGACAGAGCTCCAGAGTTCCTCTGTTGGGATGGGAGAACCTTCCAGAAGGACAACCATCTCTGCAGCACTCCACCAATCAGGCCTTTATGGTAGAGTGGCCAGATGGAAGCCACACCTCAGTAAAAGGCACATGACAGCCCGCTTGGAGTTTGCCAAAAGGCATCTAAAGGACTCAGACCATGAGAAACAAGATTCTCTGGTCTGAAGAAACCAAGATTGAACTCTTTGGCCTGAATGCCAAAAGTCACATCTGGAGGAAACCTGGCACCATCCCTACGGTGAAGCATGGTGGTGGCAGAATCATGCTGTGGGGATGTTTTTCAGTGGCAGGGACTGGGAGAATAGTCATGATCGAGGGAAAGATGAAATTACAGAGAGCTCCTTGATGAAAACCTGCTCCAGAGCGCTCAGGACCTCAGACTGGGGCGAAGGTTCCCCTTCCAACAGGACAACGACCCTAAGCACACAGCCAAGACAACGCAGGAGTGGCTTCGGTACAAGTCTCTGAATGTCCTTGAGTGGCCAAGCCAGAGCACGGACTTGAACCCAATCAAACATCTCTAGAGAGACCTGAAAATAGCTGTGCAGCGACGCTCCCCATCCAACCTGACAGAGATTGCGAAGATCTGCAGAGAACAATGGGTGAAACTCCCCAAATACAGGTGTGCCAAGCTTGTAGCATCATACCCAAGAAGACTCGAGGCTGTAATCACTGCCAAAGGTGCTTCAACAAAGTAAAGGGTCTGAATACTTATGTAAATGTAATATTTCAGTTTATTTTTATACATTTGCAAAAATGTCTAAACCTGTTTTTGCTTTGTCATTTTGGGGTATTGTGTGTACAATTTAATCCATTTTAGAATAAGGCTGTAATGTAACAATATGGAGAAAGTCAAGGGGTCTGAATACACTCCGAATGCACTGTATATTTTGGATAAGAATGCTGTTTGTACTGCACACCTTGAAAAATTATAAGTCTTCAATTCTCAATGTCACTTGGTAGCTGGTTATCATTAAAGTTATGTATCTGTAACCAGGACATCCATACATATACTGTATGTCAACTTTTTATGTTAAACCCAGCCCATTAGCCCAAATATCAGAAAAAGGTGTTGCCTTTTTAATACACACTGACTCGCATATAACATGGACAAAGTTTGAGTAATTCTTAATTTTATGGAGTCTGACTCATTTCTTAATTGAATACAATACCTTATTCTTTATCAGACCGTCACACCCGGCCTAACTGTAAAGCACGTTATCTAGATATCTATTTACTTGTTCCTTTCACACAAAGAATAAAAGAAGGAAAAGCCAGGGGATGAGGGCATGCATAGATACAAACAGAGGCATGTCTGTTCTGCCCTAGCTTCAGTTCTCCTGATGAACAGAATCATCCAACTCTTTTACAAAGCAAACCAATACTGCCCATAAAAATGTAACTGAAACTTTATTTATTATTTACAAATATTTATTCCAAAAATTATTTAGATTTTTTTAAATGAAAATCTTAAAGTTACAATGCATGGTCACTTCAAATGTTTACAAATAGTTGAATCTCACAGATTTGATTAATAATTGTGGATTTATTTAATCAGATTGTCAAATATACATAACATTGGTGTTTTACTCATTGGGTTGGGTTTGTGGAATAGTTTACTTTTTGGCATGCTAGCATCCTATCTCTAAAATGTTTTATCCAGCGGTAGAATGAGGGAATTAGATCCAGATCTCTCAGCCCAAGTCAAAAGGTTTGATTTACTGTCTTTGAAAACAATTAACTTATTGTTAACTGTACCTGATTGGGTATTGTCCTTAGGTGCACCCCTACTCATTCTTCTTAAATGTTAATTGCAGGATACATATGTTGACCCCATTTACTGATCTCGGATCAGCTTTCTTTTGTACAAAGGTTAAGCTTGCCTTTAGCAAAGACTGAAAAATACAACTAAACCCATTACCGCAATGAAGACAAAATGGCCAGCCTGGCCTCAGAGCCATTCGAAACATACTTTATGTACTTCTGGCACCTCAAGACACATGATACTTACCAATGGCTTAGTTACTTTAGACAGAAACGAAAGTAGGGAGGTTGGTCGGGGAGGAGTAACATTTCATACTTAAGGAAAGGGCGCAATTTTACGTACAGAATAATAAGAAATGATCTGAGACCAGGTTGGGGAGGATAGGTGGGCGTAATCTGCAACCGTCTAGCAATCCAAAAATTGGGTGTTGTAGTTCCGTCGGGAACAGCTGTAGAGTTTTAGAAAACCCTTCCCCTAACCCTTATTCTAAATGTAATCCAATTCACCTAACCTGCTATGTAAATTCACCTAACCTTTGTCGTTTTAGTTCTAATCTTTTAGGTAAATTATCCTAACCTTTGTCGTTAGTTCCTCTAAACCAGGGTTCTTCAATTCCGGTCCTGGAGGGCCGAAACACTTCTGTTTTTTATTTCTACCTGGTAGTTAATTGCACTCACCTGGTGTCCCAGGTCTGAATTAGCCCCTGATTAGAAGGAGAGGATGAAAAACAGAGGTGTTTCGGCCCTCCAGGACCGGAATTGAAGAACCCTGCTCTAAACCAATGTAAATTCTCCGTAACTCTCCGTTACAGCACAACATGCAACCTGGTCTCAAATAAAGTCGTATAATACTATACGTCCTTCAATTCGTAAACCGTTTCCTACCAGCTAAGATGTATTATACTATACAACCTATAATTCATATGATATGGTACGACCGCTATTCCATTCATAATGTAACCTAACATAATGTAATATATCATACTAAATAAGGTGTCACAGATGTACATTCATAATAATACGAATTGACCTGAGACCACATTGCAGCGACTGACTAACATTGACCCAAAATAAATAGTCCCAATGCCTAGATGCTGCTTGTAGATCAAGCTGTCTAGCAGGCTAGTTGGAGTTTCCACCATATTGCACCAAGGGTTAGAGCTACTTTACAGAGTATATAAAACCATATGAAGATGTGTACTGTAAAAACCAGCGGTGGCTGCTGAGGGGAGGATGGCTCATAATAATTGGAAACCATGTGTTTGATACCATTCCATTGACTCCATTCCAGCCATTATTATGAGCCGTCCTCCCATTAGCAGCCTCCACTGGTAAAAACATTAGGAATAAAATAACATTAGGACAAAATAAATGCAGGTTGAAATTACAATCAGTGAGCCAACACCATGATCTTCATTCAGATACTTCAGAGATAATTGGACCATTTGTACAGAATTGTCATTGCTCCCATGCGTATTACTTCTAAAAGCCATTTCAGATGGTCTTCTTACCCAATTGACTGGAGCTTCTGGAGGAAAGAGAAGTAGGGAAGGGAATAATTTTTTTTCTTCATAAAAATAGCTAATTACTTCAACAATGAAAGATACACAGTATCTTCAACATTTCATGAGTGATGTGTTTTCTTAGAAAGTTACTTCAATGTTTTTGGTCAATATGTATGTTAACACATCTCTACACACCTATATCTACAATAATCAGTAGTCTACCTATTCAAATCTCCCCCTGATGTATGGAATGAAAGAAAGCATTCAGGGGAGATTGTCTCCTGGAATTGAAAACATGAAAATACACTTCCTCTTTTGTCTACTTGACAGTACCACTGAAGTACATAAACATACAAAAGAGTGTGTCACCTACTGTACCTGTGTGTCAGAACCTCTTAGTTGTTAGCTCACTTGTTCACCACATACATCCCTGTTTGGTTTTTCAATGGTTCATCCATTTCGTCCTGTATCAGAGAAAATATCAGCTCATCAAAGGTGTAAAACTGTCTGTAAAGATGATACAGCACACAATATAATTTATCAGGCAAAACTTAATTTTGCATTCTGTTTTTGACCTGTTGTATAGAACTGCAATGTTTCCCTATCTTGCAGATGTTCATCTGTTCTAAAAGCCTTAGTTAACTAAGCCTGAAAGACATCCACTCTGCTTAACTGCAACAATAAATCAAACCAGGTGATTAATAAATTAAAAGGGCTTTGGGAGGAGAAGGTTATGTAAAGAGAACAGAGTGGTTGTGGATTACAATGTGTCTGTTTGCTGCTCTGTTGCCATAGAGACAGGTGACAGAGGGGCACTCTTTTCATTATGTTATAGTCAGTCTCTGAGCAAATGTTGGCAGACTAGTATGGAACGACCATGCTCAATAAATTGATCAAGGAGAGTTGGAGGCTCTGAACAAATAGTCCTCCAATGTCTTCCACTGTTCCCTTTACAAAACAACATAACAAACATGCTCAAAGCACTGCTAGCAGCAACACAGAATTAAAAAAGATATCTATGTAAATGTAACACAATTATATGAAGTGCATAAACACAAATACACAACAATATCCTTATACAGTAGATTGAATATAAGCAATATAAGCTAACTCAAACTGTACATTTCCAAAGCTAAACAAATATCTATGACGTTACATATCAACGCTAGAAAAAACCTGAATAGTCTCATTAGTACAGTCAATGGTCTCTTTGTTTGGTGTTAAGGGAGAGATCTCTCTCTCTCTGTCGTTGGTAGATCCCATGGCATTTGTACTTAGCATCCCTTTCATAGCTCAATCGAGAATATATGTTTTTTATGTCCACAATATACACTGCCTTTTTTCAAACAAATAAAGGCGTGGCCAGTCATTCAAAGTGACATTGATGAGTAACATGCCCTATACAGGAAGGTCCTTGGATGATAACTCTGGTGTCATCCCTCATATGTACCCCAAGGCAGGATTAAAGCTATACATTTACAGCTCACAGATGATTGCGTTTAATTGGTTGTCTGGTCAACCAAGAACATCTGCTTATGTGGGGGTTTGATTTCGGAGATAAGCAACTTGGTGCATCAATGAATATATGTGGCTTGGGGGGAGGAGTATGGCTTGGGACCCTTCTCTCGAAGCTACAGGGGTAGTTAGGCTAAGAGGATAGAGGGGAAGGCTAGTGTTTCCCACGCCTCAGGTTTCCCTGGTCAAAGCCAGAAGGGCACAAAGAGACGTTTATCTAACACTGAGGCAGAGCGGCCAGTCTTAGTAACCATAGCCAACCTGCTGGATACAGAATCTGAGCCTGTGTGTGTGTCTATCTGGCCTCTCTACTAAGACATAGGACTTACATTAGGCTTGCCGTTGGGCACGTCGAAGCGGCTGTGTGTGGAGTACATTTGGATGTTTGCCCCGTGGTTGATCTGGTCATATGGGCTGAAGCTTCCGTATCTCTGCCTACAGCACAACCACACTAGCTGAAGGTCAAGAAAATACAAGAATCATAGTACTTCTAAAATGGCCTCCTTAGCATGATGATATGATACTGTAACTGTTATAGCAGGGTTGTGACTGTTTCTGAGAAAATTGAGGTCTACAATGCATTTAGGGAGAAACAGTGTGCATGCGTGTGTCTGTGTGTGTTTGTACTCACCAGCAGTATTAGGAGAATAAGGAGGATTAACAAGATCAGGGCAGCCAGTACCAATAGAGCGATCCCCCATCCTGGGACCCCATCCCCGCCCCCAGCAACTACAGCTGCAGCATTCTCGGTGGTCTTATGACTGGTCGTTTGTCCCGTGGCAGCCTGATGCGTGCTTGTTGCTCTCTCAGTAGGGGCAACTTGGGGGTTAGATTGGCCCAGAGGTAGTTGTTGATAGAGAGGTTTTACGAAAGACAGTCGTGCTACTGGCCTGGGGAGGATTTTTAGGCGTAATAGGGGTGGTTGTATTGCTAATTGTATTGTTATGGTCTCCAGGAATAGGGGTGGTTATATGGCTAATTGTTATGTTATGGTCCCCAGGATTATGGGTGGTTACGTTGCTAATTGTAATGTTGTGGTCTTCAGGACCAGGGGTGGTTTTGTTGCTAATTGTTATGTTATGGTCCCCAGGATTAGGGGTGGTTACGTTGCTAATTGTAATGTTGTGGTCTTCAGGACCAGGGGTGGTTTTGTTGCTAATTGTAATGTTATGGTCTTCAGGATTAGGGGTGGTTACGTTGCTAATTGTAATGTTGTGGTCTTCAGGACCAGGGGTGGTTTTGTTGCTAATTGTAATGTTATGGTCTTCAGGATTAGGGGTGGTTACGTTGCTAATTGTAATGTTGTGGTCTTCAGGACCAGGGGTGGTTATGTTGCTAATTGTAATGTTATGGTCTTCAGGAATAGGGGTGGTTATGTTGCTAATTGTTATGTTATGGTCCCCAGGATTAGGGGTGTTTATGTTGCTAATTATAATGTTATGGTCTTCAGGAATAGGGGTGGTTATGTTGCTAATTGTAATGTTATGGTCTTCAGGAATAGGGGTGGTTATGTTGCTAATTGTAGTGTTATGGTCTTCAGGAATAGGGGTGCTTATGTTGCTCATTGTAATGTTATGGTCAGGACTAGTGGTGGTGGTTGTAAGGGTATGACTACTTGTGATACTAACTGTTGCAAGACTGGTGATGATGCCAGAAGAAGTCATTGCTGTAGATGTAGTTGCATCCCCGACCCTTCCTGAACGGCTAGCCGTACTAACTAAGGCAGCTGTAGTAGTCGTCGCTGCAGATGGTGGTGAGGAAGTTACGGTTGCTGTGGTACGTGCTACATGAGGTAGTATGGCTTTTATTGGAAGTTGATCTGAGGGATAAAGAACATATTTGTGATTCCTGCTTTATTTTACTAATAACAGTTTCTTAAGCTATTTACAATACAGGTTATTTGTAACATACAAATGAATCAGGTTGCTACACAACAGAAGTAGAGAAGGTTGCCATCTTCTTTACCTTCAGTATAGGCGAGGTCCAGGTCAAGGGTTTTTGGATTTATTTGATCGGATATGAGTGGAAAATAGATCTTTAACCAAACTTGCATTGATCATTAATGTAGTCCCAAACATTAATGTCGAGTTTGCAATGACAGATCCATTACTGCAAGAGTGGGAGCAGTAGTCAAAAATAATACTAATGTATAATTGTCAATATCCTTAAGAATGCTATTTTTTTAAAATGGCTGCATTTTAAATTCAACATTAGAGCTCACCTGAAGATTATATCAAATACACCCATATATTTGTCAGGGTCTGGCAAAGTGCTGTAGACGTCATCCATCTGAAAAAGAAAGACACAGCAATCAGAGGAGCACTTTAATATTATCCTACAGGCCTACAAAGCATGGCTTCACACCTTTACTTGTTTGAATATTGAGGATATTGTAACAGGTTGTAAGGGAGGTGTCTATAGTATCCTTGTCTATGGTGTAGTGGAGTGGGACAACTGGAGTGTGAGCTAGTAGTGATGGCTCGGTTTTGTTGTTTACTGTTAAAATAGTTCTCACTTCTAGGTGTTGGAGAGCTGATGATGTTGGTGACATAGAAATAGAATGAATAGAACATGCTTGGGAACATCTAACCCTGGCAATTTGACTGGTAAACTCATACGTACACTCGCAATGGTTGCCTGGTATAGATGCGGTAAAGAGGTCAATAGAACTTGACATGGAAATGTGTTGGGGAAAGATGCTGTGGTGGAAAGATCCTGAAGCTCACCAGCAAAATGTGCCTACATATAGGCTATTGTTTATGTGTGTATTATGCTTGTATAGATGTCAACCCCAATACATTTTCATGTCATCATCACCAATCAACTGCATTACATTACTTTGACTACCACCACCGATTGTATGCTAGCTATGCTACCGGTTTATACGAACGGGAGTTAGCACTTACTGTAGCAGTCACTTCTTCTAAGCCTGAATGTGACTACTTCTAAATGTTATGCAGCGAAAACAGCCAAATGTATCAAAATCAGACTTTAGTAACCACATTGTGGGCCTGTTACAATACATCAATCATGACGTATTTGACGAATATCCACTTTGTTAGATCATATTTGTTGAATGTGCGCCCGCTCTATTAAGTATCTCCAGGGCAAATAGTTATTTTGGGAGTATAGACTGAGTGATGAGTTGAAGATCTATGGACTGACTTGAGCAGTAAAAACCCACAGACTCTTACCATCTGCTCCACCTGTTTCCTCAGCTGTTTGTACTCCTTAGAGTTTTGATTATTGAGTGACTCAGTGTAATTCCGGTTGGTGATTCTGACGCATAAGTAGTAGGCGGACAGCGGAGCTGGGGTGGTCTTATCACTGCTGCTGGGTGTTGCCCTCCGTAAATGGGTAACAGGCACAACATCAGCAAAGAAAAGGAGTGCTGTACAGGAGAAGGGGAAACAAGCCAAAATTCGGAAATGAGCAGAAATACTGATACACACCCATCTAATGAATTACTGCCATTACCCTTAGAGACTGACTGATTGAAGTGCCAATTACAGCCAATAAAGGTATCCTTGTACTGTGGAAATGATTATCTGTAGACAGACACTTTGAGTTGAAAGGGGGGTCACCATCTGTGATCTCTGTAGTACCCAGACAAAACAATAATCTTCAATCACTACAATAATGCATTATTTAGACTAATTTCTTCCAAAACAAAGTTTTCGAATGTGTTTTCTCAGTGCAGGAAATAAGTTGTTTTGTCTAATATTTGATTGAGTGGGGTCGATTGTAAATCCATAATACTATTCTGCTACTGCACTACATAACGCTGAATACATTTTTATACATTATGACACACTATGACATATTATGACAAATTATGATAGATGTTTTGCTATCTTGAGCAAAACGCCAGATTTAAAAATCTTCTCAATGGGGGTTTTAACTCCAGTATATTGGCATCACTTGAGTCACCTGAGGAAGCAACTTAAAGTATAATAGGCCAAAATGTCCTCAAGAAGGCTCCAGAGCAGCCGGGGACAAGAGAATCATGAAAAAGTGGTATTCTGGTTGTGTGCTGATAAGGTTTGACTCTCTGTAAACCACAAAGTATGATTTACTTAGATACAGGTAACTGACAAAATAAAGGAAACCCCAACATAAAGTGTCTTAATAGGGTGTTGGGCCACCACGAGCCAGAACAGCTTCAATGCACCTTGGCATAGATTCTACAAGTGTCTATAACTCTAATGGAGGGATGCGACACCATTCTCAGTTTACAATCATAGCCTGAATAAAAGCAGGCTTCGGGTAATGCATGAGAAGCCATCATTTTTCAGACCTGTTTACCATATGTTTAGGGGTCCTGTTGATTGTCACATTAACAATTGAATCCCCATCTGACCCCCACATCTAAGAAGTGTAGGTTACAGTACAACACAGTCCAATGCATCCCATACAACAGTGGTTACCAAACCTTTTTCGGTTACTGTATCATCAACAGAATTTTGCTCTGCCCGGAGTACCCCTGAAGTACCCCCTCATGTGCATTTTACCAGTAGGCCTATGGTCTCATGAGTCTTCTCAAGTACCCCCTGTGGATAGGCTGAGCACCTCCAGGGGTCCTAGTACCCCTGGTTGGGAATCACTGCCCTACAACAGAAGTCTCCAAAGAAATGTAATGTGTAAATGTGTTATAGGCTATATATTTTTATATAATAATAATAATATGCCATTTAGCAGACGCTTTTATCCAAAGCGACTTACAGTCATGCGTGCATACATTTTTTGTGTATGGGTGGTCCCGGGGATCGAACCCACTACCTTGGCGTTACAAGCGCCGTGCTCTACCAGCTGAGCTACAGAGGACCACATAATCAATAAATGATCAATAATCAATAAATGAAGATGCATGGAAGAGTGGATAGATAGATAGATAAGATTAGATAGATAGATAGATAGATAGATAGATAGATAGATAGATAGATAGATAGATAGATAGATAGATAGATAGATAGATAGATAGATAGATAGATAGATAGATAGATAGATAGATAGATAGATAGATAGATAGATAGATAGATAGATAGATAGATAGATAGATGTTTTCTGTCATACCTGAAACAGCCAAAGTAAGAATAATCCCAAATTTGATTGGTATTTTCTCCATGATGTATCAAACAGGTACACTAACGTTTTTAAAAGAAAAGCCAAATACACACAGTGGAAGTTAGCCTGGTTGCTTACTTCATCATAAACTATTTCTGTCTGAAAGAAAAAGTTATTTTATCACCCAGATAACTGTGCAGGTAGGACAGGTGTATGGCGGGGGGCGGACCCTGGATTATATGGGTGTGCGTGCTGGAAGAGAACGCAAAGATAGACATTCGTGGTGTATGACGCCACCTCGTGGCCAGAAGGATTTGCTGTCGGAGTATCAGTATCACCTTGGAGTTGTAAATCTTTGAGAAGCAAGGCACAAAAAAGGCATGAGGCAAAATCAACAGCCTGACCCAGCCACTGTTTAGTAAACTGAGGGAAACTACTCTCAAATTCATGGATGGAGCAATGGCAAGGACTGACAGCCAATGAGGTCGACAAAATGTTTACAAATACTAAAATAACAACAAAAACATAAACCAACCTTTGATTTTGATATACGATAGGATTAGTCTTGAGACAGTTGTATTAAAATAATGTATATCTTTCCAGAATAAATGGGTGTGTATCATTCATTGAAATGGCTAGTGAGCAACAGGAAACCCTTACAAAAAAAGATTGCCATTTTGAAACTGCAGTAAAAGTGCAGTAACTGCAGTCGACTGTGGTATTTGGATGCAGTAATTGCAGAATAACTGCAGTGTACTCAGTGGTGGAAAAAGTACCCAAACGTCATACATGAATAAAAGTAAAGATACCTTAATAGGAAATGACTCAAGTAAAAGTGAAAGTCACCAAGTACTATTTGAGTAAAAGTCTAAAAGTATTTGGTTTTAAATATACTTAAGTATCAAAAGTAAATGTAATTGCAAATTCCTTATATTAAGCAAACCAGATGGCACAATTGTTCATGTTTTTATTTATTTATGGATAGCCAGGGGCACACTCCAACACTCAGACATCATTCAGAAACAAAGCATTTGTGTTTAGTGAGTCGCCAGATCAGAGGAAGTAGAGACGACCAAGGATGTTCCCTTGATAAGTGCGTGTATTGGACCATTACTGCCCTGCTGAGCATTCAAAATGTAACGAGTACTTTTGGGTGTCAGGGAAAATGTATGGAGTAAAAAAATACATAATTTTCTTTAGGAATGTAATGAAGTAAAAGTAAAAGTTGTCAAAAATATAAATGGTAAAGTAAAGTACAGATACCACAAAAAACTACTTAAGTAGTACTTTAAAGTATTTTTACTTAAGTACTTTACACCACTGCAAAATTACTGCAGTAAAAAAAACGGTGTTATTTTGGACCCAGTATTTGCAGCATACTACAGTTATAATGCACTCTAACAGCAGTTATACCACAGTGTACTGCAGTTATACTGCACTCTGACAGCAATCTTTTTTCAGAAGGAAATATTAGATTGTGCACGTCATTCACAACTTCCCTCATCAGCATGTGTGGGACCCTTGTCATCTGCTCGGAAAACGGATGACTTTGCGGTATCTGAATTAAGGACATGCAGTGGTTAGCCTACTTACAATTTTATTTTTCCAGAAACACAAGCGAGAATGCATTTGAAGCAACTACGCCAAGTAAACTAGCTAGTTAGGCTTGCCTACAAGTGCATGATTGTTAGATAGCAGCAATTATACTTTTTCTCCCTGACAACAGTACACAAAGACACATTGTGACACACCTCTCTTTCTCCCCATCCCCCTCAATTCCACCCCATCCCCAAACTCGCTCTCTCTCTTGCACACACTCTCTCTCCTATAGCTGAGACAGATATAAAGACCAGGAAACAAGATGTGATGGAGTTGGTGACGTATAGTTTGGTGTACTGAGAGGTCAGGGTATCGTAAAATTGAGGACAGGGAGGTGAATTGTAATACAAACACTGCCAAGTGGATTAACCGTCTTTGTACTTCTTGGCACATTTGCCACTCATGCTGTTCCGCCACCCTATTTCACAACAACATTGATGTAAGTGTAATGCCGCTGCAATGCTGTGAGGCTTTGAAAGTGAACATGGATTGTTAAGTGTTTTCACTTGTGTGAATGAAATTCCAATGATTTCAAAAAAAGAAAAGTGTGTGTGTTTTTAAGATACTCCAGGCTGCAGAACAACAACATTGTTCATGCATCACTTTGAAGCACATTCTAAGCCATGTGATGACTTGAGTCAGTGCTGCTCTCGTTGTCTGTAATGATGGAGGAGTGGTGTGAGTTGGTGACCTATTTCGGTGCATAGATTTCCGCACTGTTTGGCAATCTCAGCAGTTTGACTCTTGATGTGTGCACTACAACTCCACCATCATTACTGAGTGACAACACCTCAGCCTAAAGATGTCTTCAAGTTGGATGCAGGTGACATTTCTCCTTGCACACTTGATTGTTGGTAAGATTTTTGAAGCTGACAACATCTAATGTTGTTGTATATGACTGTACATTAAATATCAAGTTGCAGATGATTTAGTCTCTATAGTCAGACGTTTTACTATGTGTATGCTCTCCCACAGCAGGAGCAGTGGTGTACCAGTACCCAGGGTCACTAACAGTGGCAGAGGGTACCAATGTGACATTTCACTGTGACATCAGTGAAATGGGAGGGGAATGCTCTTATATCGTATGGGTGCAAGTGGGACCTATGAGAAAGCTCACACTCTGGCCTCGAAAAACCTACAGTGTCCACACCAACACAGCCTGCCTCCTGAACATCATCAACGCCAACAGGACAAGTGTGGGCACCTTCTACTGTGCCCTGCTTAACGGTGCCATGCTGAACATGGGCAATGGGAGTGTGCTGGAAGTCTCTGGTAAGATCAGATGCTTCTCCATGGTTTATATTAGCGTTAATCTTTTCTAGTCCTGGGAGGTATACATTAATAAAAAACAGAAAGGAAAACGGCGCACACTGCTGCTCATGCTCCCAGGTGATATTTATTTATAACAATGTTTAGACCCTTAGGTTTTCATCAGGCAACCTAAGAGTCGCAACGTTGTTATAAATAAATATCACCTGGGAGCATAAGCAGCTGTGTGCAGAGTTTTCCTTTCTGTTTTCATGAATTTGCCTACAACTCCAGCACCTGCAGAAAGTACCTGGATGTGCCTATGTTCTTCAGCTTAGGTATACATTGGTAGTCATGCCATGTCATGTCCTCTGTCCTCTCTCTTCCAGACCCTGTCACCTCTGACGCTGCTCTGGAGGTCCTGGTGCCCGTGGACTGGCAGGAGGCCCCCTCATCCCCAGTCCCACTCATGTGCCTGGTGTCTGGGCTGGATCCCAGTCAGGCCAGGGTGTACTGGGAGGTGGGGGGGAAGGTTCAGTCCTCAGAGCGTTTACCTGAGGTTCTGTCAGAGAAGCCAGCCAGTGTCAGAGTCCAGCTCTCTGTACCTGGCCATACCTGGGCTGAAGGTGAAGAGATCACCTGTGTTATGGAGAGCACCAGTGGGGTGAAGATGAACAAGACAGTCAGCAGGATGGGTAAGAGAGATCACCCCAGGGCTCTGGGTTACATTTGTTTAGAAGGTCTGTCTGCACAAGTTTAGAACAATGTAAAACTCTTATGTGCCAAAACAAATTGTGTCTTCTTAGGAATGGAGAGGTCCAGACAGGGAATGTTTCTGGCCATCTCTTTGGGTGGCATGTGTATCCTTCTTTCTATTGTGGTGATTATCATCACTTTGTATGTCTGCAGACTGAGACACAACCCTCGTAAGTACTGTTTGTATTTGATTAGTTATTCATGATTGATAACTTTACTGCATCTATAGCAGCAGTATATTATATAGGCTATCAATAGTATCTTTAACATATTGTATCATAATATTTCCAAAGGAAATAAAATATTTCAACCCTGTGAGCACAACCAGGATGGTGCACAGGTAAAATAACTTTTGATAAATGTTTGTGTATTATACTATTATAAGTATTATTTTTGTGTGATTATACTATTACTACGTTTTCTACTATTACTATTTGTAATAATGATGATGATGGTGTTTTCTTGTCATTCAGGGTCTGACTGAGGTGCAGTATGCCAGTTTGAAGTTTGGAGCTGGTCGTGGGAGACCCTTACCTAGAGCCACAGCTAAAAACAGACAATATAAGTAGGCTAAAGCTGCCCTTGTAACACCTTACATGTGAATTCACTTTTCTACAAAACCATAAAAGAAGTGCTTATTCATTCAGGGTCATCGGTTTGTCAAAATGCTTCTGTGCTTGCTTGCTTATGTTTTCTGACCTACTTATTTGAGTCAATGATTTAAGGATTTTTGCTTTTAGAATAAGGAACTTATGTTGTCAGATTGTGTAGTCATTTTACAAGCTTTGTGATTAAAAAACAATTCAATCTTGTTGAAATAATAGCCAAATGTAAATTACATTAAAGATAAATACAAGTTTCATTTATGGAGTAAACGAGTTTCTCTGGTTGTATGCTGATGAGATTTTTGTGATAATAGTCAGCTATAAAAATGAGTCACAGATGGAATCTGTTTTGTCTTCAGCATAAATAGTACATCCTGTTTGTTTCACATAATGCTCAGCACGTAGAACAGCACAGGTCCATTTGATGGTAAGCATTTTTGTCCAAATGCTCTGCCTCCTAGTATTTCAAAATGTCTCACAAGTTAGGTGCGTTCTATAACTTAAATGATTAAGCATCTTTCATCTCTGTGATGTTGCAACTCAAACCCACAGATTTACATCATTTTAGCAGATGCTCATATCCAAACACAGATGGTGTTTGACCTTAAGGTATTTGAAAGTGGAAATAATTTATGTATTATCTATACCGTATTTATATTCTGTATTATTAGTTTATGCTTCCCATTCACACTGGCTGTAAATCAATACTTGTATTGTAGGCTGTGCCAGTTTCCTTCACTTGACACTTCATCATGTTGCAGTCACTGTCCACAAGACGGTAGTAAAGAGGTGTAACTTAGTTTCTGTTTAAATTTTCCCTGAGTAAGCAGAGGCCATTCAACCCTCCAGGTGCCCTAGCAGCCCATAAACCAGACACCTGGAGATATTGATTACCATTGTAAAACAGTGGAGTTTTAGAGTTTTAGAAACTGACTGTTATATAGCCTGCTCTAAAATACTTTATCTAAGTCCCCCTTTTCTCTTCAAAAGGTCAACCAGCTGCTTTCACTTTAGACTTTCTTAAAGTAAATCATGTCAGATTGAGGGGTATGCAGTTGTGCTGTCTACAAAAAAAGTGTTGACACTGAGCATATAATGAGACTGTTTGATAATCAGTGTATAGGATCATGGGAGGAACATTTTGGGGAAATGTGGAGGGGGGTTGACATTTCTCAATGTGTGCAGGGACTAGATGTGGAACCATTGTAAGGAAGGAAGGAAGGAGTGGTGGTCTTTTGGCTCCTGTCCCCCTGTCCAGATAGGAATGAGTGAACTCCTTTTCTCCTGCTTGGCTTGATGATGTCATGGCTTGTGCATGTCTGTCTGGCACGGGCTCTGCCAGCTGCTGAGCTGAGTTTGTTGCAAAACAGACACAGCATTATTTCCATGTTTAAGAGCTCCGTCGGGTGGGTTAAAACATTGCCTTTAGGTGGATCATTCTACCCTATCTTCTCCTTCTATCAATGCTTACATTGCAGGTAGACCTGTTGTCGTTAATCTTTAGTGAGTGAAAGAAAGTAAAACAGAAGCATTTGATATAGATTATACAGTAGTTTCATTCATATTTTATATTCTGCCTATGGATGGACAGGTTGAGTTAAAAGTTATTGTTACAGTACCATTCTTAAGAGCAAATAGAGGTATGAATTATCCCTTGTGTGAGCACCTTTTTTTCTGTCATTTTCCACAGATGTGAAAAGTACAAAAGCCTCTTTAACGGTGAAAGTGAAATATACCAGCATTAATCTTCATCAAACACATTAAAAAGCCATGTATTGGTTTAGAAGAAAAAGTACACTATCCTTATTCAGAACATCTGCTAAATCTATTCTGACAAAGACACTGGAAACATTTTCCAGGTCAATGTCCTGCTCCAAATGTTTGGAAAAGACAGTTTGGTGAGTTGACCACAGTTTGTTGGACCAATTTGACCACTGTTTTTAGAATTTTTACAACATTCTGATAAATATTGCACCACAAAAACATAGGGGAAGCACATACATTGAATTCTATTTCTAATGGCAAATGTTGTTCAAAGTTCCATTGTAATAGACCGAATGTTGTTAATCATACATTATTTAGATATCAAAGGACTCTATCAATGGACCGAGGTGGCTAGCTTCAAAAACCTCTAGACAGAACGATCTTGAAGTCTGAACAAGAAACGTAGACGTTGTCAGTGGCAACGAGAGGTATCACTTCCGAGTGAAAAGGTCGTTCAATTCATTAAAGATGGCTGCCTCCACACAGATGGCTACCTCTGAGCTGTACTGCTGGGAAGGCGATTGGGGTTTACCTTCTGTCGACACAGAGTGTTTAATTGTATTGGTAAGATATCAATTATGATTTAATTCCAGCAATAACAACATTTCAAGATAGCACAGCTTGGCTGCCTTCATATTCAGTTGCAAGCTAATGTCAATGCTGATGGCGTTGGCTTGGACATCACATCCCTCACTGACATGGCTATCTATTAGTTGTCTAACGTTAGCTATTTGCAATGAACATTTCACCGTAACTACCGGTAGTGTATTTACATGATAGTTAACGTTACATGGGCTGGTACCATGTAATTACAGTGCAAGGTGAACATTGTTACATTAGTATCTACAGCTAGCTAGCTGGCTAACTTATACCCCTTTCAGACACTTTTTGAAAGGTTATCAATTGTCTCTATCGACCCGTAACTGTAGTGGCGTCCTATGTAAGAAAATGGCATTAGCTAACTTAGCTAGCTAACGGAAGCTAACTAGTAACAACAGCAGCATGCACTGGCAATTTGCAAATAAATCTCACAAGAATGTAGATAATTTAATGTACCTAGCTAGCTAAATCAATGCACACTGCAAACAAGCAGGTCTAGGTTAACAGCTGTAACTACAGTAAACTTTCACTCTACCTGCCTGTGTGCGTCTCAGTGAAGGCTCCTCAGAGGAGGAAGAGGAAGACCATCCTACTCAGTGAATTTCAAAAAAATACAATTAGTGAAACATTAAAAAAGTTAAATTTTTTATATAAAACTATACTAAATATATTCATATGTCACCAAATAACTGATTAAAACAGTGTTTTGCAATGAAGTTCTACAGTAGCTTTAACAGCACACTCTAGGATAGCACCATGGTGTATCAGGAGGACAGCTATTTTCCATCCTCCTCTGGGTACATTGACTTCAATACAAAACCTAGGAGGCTCATGGTTCTCACCCCCTTTCATAGACTTACACAGTAATTATGATGACTTCCGGAGGACGTTCTCCAACCTATCAGACCTCTTGCAGCATGAACTGACATGTTGTCCATCCAATCAAAGGATCAGAGAATTCATCTAGTACTGAAAGCATGAGCTACAGCTAGCTAGCACTGCAGTGTATAAAGTTTGGTGAGTAGTTGACTCAGAAAGACAATAGTTGAACCGTTTTGAACAAATGAATTTCTTCAAAAATGAAGGAGAAGCAGCAGAGTTGGCGAGAAAGAGGGAGCTAGCTATATTTCATTTTAGTTAGTTTACCTTTCACTTACTTAGCTAGCTAGCTAATGCAGCTAATTTAGCCTACTCAACAACCTGACTCAAACAGAGAGGAATGCTATTTTTATGTTAGCTAGCTAGCTAAGGCTATCCAACACTCCAACTCTTCCAAGTCAAGGTAAGCTTTCGGTTTTATTAATTTAGTGCCACCGGGGCCCGCCGGTGTAACTGCTAAACTGCTTGCTGTTCATTGTACTGTGTGATTGTACACATGGATTGGATTGTGGGTTTACTAACACATTAGTTCTAGTAGCAATGTTGACTATGACGTTAACTAATATGTTGACAACGATGTAGGCTGTGTAGGGGTTAGCGTTAGCGATTATGGTATGACAGTTTGGCTTGGAGAGTTTTTTTTTGCCTGGTCACAGACAGCTATGGTGTTGTGCACTTGAGTCCACAAGTGAAGGGAAAAGGAGAGCGGAGGAGACCACGTAGATGCGAGAAGGAATTATTCAACGAGCAAAGTGATGATGCTGTATGGGGCTGCTATGAAAGTGAACTGTGTTTGCGGGTGATCAGGGGTGTATTCATTCTGCCGATTTCTGTTGCAAAATGTTTCTTAAACGGAAGCAAACAGAACGAAACGGGGATGGACCTACCTGAATTTATCCAATAGAAACTGTTTGGACTAATGATTACACCCCAGATCAGCTAGATACAGGCAAGAGTGTGCCAGACAGTATTGAATGTGTCACTGTCTCTCACCTTGAGTACTCCAATTTGTCTCTCGGCCTGTGCACCTACGTTATAAACTCTCATTTGTAGTCTAGGTTGTAGCGGCGGCAGGTAGCTTAGTGGTTAAGAGCGTTGTGCCAGTAACCGAAAGGTCGCTGGTTCTAATCCCCGAGCCGACTAGGTGAAAAAATCTGTCGGTGCCCTTGAGCAAGGCACTTAACCCTAATTGCGCCTGTGAGTCGCTCTGGATAAGAGCGTCTGCTAAATGACTAAAATGTAAAATGTAGCAACGATGGGTATAGGGCACATTTTTGTATCATGTAGTAGCCTAAACCTATCGATGTTACATTGAGCTGGGTGAATGGAGTAGGAATGAGACATCCAATACACTGTAATAGAAATGGCCATGCTCATAAAAATACAAAAAGTCCTCCCTAATCCTAAACTGCACCGACCACCACTGGTGTGAGTGTGTGTGTTTTTGGTTTTACTATCCTTGTGGGGACCAGAAGTCCTCACAAGGATAGTAAAACAAGGAAAATTCGGACAAGTGGGGACATTTCGCCGGTCACCACAAGGAAAAAGGCTATTTTAGTCTTAGGGGCTAGGTTTAGGGTTAGTGTTACAATTAGGGTTTGGGGTTAGGATTAGGTTAAGGGTTAGGGAAAATAGGATTTTGAATGGGAATCAATTGTTTGGTCCCCACAAGGATAGTAGAACAAATGTGTGTGTGTTGCCATACAATATTCTGCAACACAGCTATAATAGGCCTAGATTCAGAAACAATGGCATTAAAGCAGCTAGCTGCATGTTGTGACACCCAAAGAATCCTAATAATTATTAGCATCTAGACTGGAGAGTTTATGACCTGTCATCTTGTAGGCTATCCCTAACTACTGGTGCCAAATGTTTGAACGTATGTTTACCTGTCAATCGCTGCACTGCATCAGAGGCAACTGTAAATGGCTTTAGCTCCCCCCTCAGTTTCTTTCAGGAAATTCCTGGTATGTCCATCATGGTACAGTTCTCATGGTACCCATGTATACATACCCCAAAGATTGTGTTGTACGTATCTGACTGGAAGCAGTGTTTTTGATTTAGCATACCTCTAATGTTCCATTTGGTTGTCTCTGAATACATGGCCACCCAAAACGTCTAATGTATTACTGTAAACCACAATATTTCCATTGTGCATGTTCAGTTAAATGACTGATTTGTTCACAAGCCACATATGACAGCTTATATTACCTTGCAGCCTTGAGTAATCCAGACTTGAGTATCATAAGCTACCTTTTCCTCCCTGGAAAATTTTCAGACATGAAACCATTTTTAAACATGTATATCTTGGACCCACACCTTACTGGAGGGAACAAGATGTAAAATGTGGGTCTGGAAAGTGACTTTCCTCCCCTGCTACTTTTTTGGTGGTTGGAAAATGCACATCTTGCTTGCTTTTAATTTGTGTCTCAGTGTGGTCTCTAAAACCACAAATTGACTACTGAACTGGAGGCATGTTACTGACACATCATACTCTTGGACAAAATCTTGTCTGGAAATGAGCAATTTCATTCAGAGTTTTCCAGGATGCCCCCCTGGGTTTTCACTGCAATCGGGTAGATTTATGTGTGTGATGATGTCACATTCACAGACCTCATTCTTTCCATTCAGTGAACTGGCACCATGTCACTGCATTTAGGCTAGACGTCTGTACATTCCACCTATTAGGTCATTGCAGAAGTGAATTAGAGAACCCTCCAGAATTTTCTTAAAAAATATATATTTTGATTTATTAAAAAATATAAGCATTAGCATATCTACTTAATGGTTACTGCTGGATTAGCCTATGTTTAAAGCATACGTTATTGCCAATGTCTAGTCTAATTATCATAGTAAGCCTAGTTAATTAGAACATCATGTAAGAGATTGATGTTTAGTCAGTAACAGACTGAAGCTGAGACTCAGACTTTTCACTTTAAAATGAATGTCAAACAAAAACCAATGATTTCAAAGTTAAACAAACCATACAACTCTATGCACAAGGACTACTTTTAACAATTTACATAGACAATTTTACAAAAACACATTTACTTGAAGAACAGTGCCGATGCAAAGTTTGGTATACATTTTAAAGTGAATAATCAGCATCAATCTTTTACTGTGGAATTGCCCGTAGCCTAACCCTAGTCTAGTCTAGTGATACCCTAGTGATGCTAAGATACCCTTCCACTGGTAGTCTGTTATTTATTTAAAAAATCAGTAGTAGCCTACCATTTGGCATTCATACATATCCAGAAGAGGAGTGTCTCTCTTTACATTCCTCAGATGAGAAGTGTGTTGCCCTGTTTTATTAAGCAATGCTGGAAAAAATGATCTTGGCAGTGCAATATAGGCTAGCACTCAAATACGAGCACCTGTTTGTAGTCTCTCATGCAGAAGAGAGGACGGTGTGAATTTTGAAGCCTGGTTTATAGTTTAATTTGGTGTTTTTCATATAGCCATTTTGCCTAGGCCTAAAGTATAGTGTATATACAGTACCTGTCAAAAGTTTGGACACCTACTCATTCCAGGGTCTTTCTTTATTTTTACTATTTCTACATTGTAGAATAATAGTGAAGATATCAAAACTATGAAATAACACATATGGAATCATGTAGTAACCAAAAAAGTGTTAAAAAATCCAAATATATTTTATATTTGAGATTCTTCAAAGTAGCCACCCTTTTTGCCTTTGACAGCTTTGCACACTCTTGGCATTCTCTCAACCAGCTTCATGAGGTAGTCACCTTGAATGCATTTCAATTAACAGGTGTGCCTTTTTAAAAGTTAATTTGTGGAATTTCTTTCCTTCTTAATGCGTTTGAGCCAATCAGTTGTGTTGTGAGAAGGTAGGGTTGGTATACAGAAGATAGCCCTATTTGGTAAAAGACCATAGTGCATATTATGGCAAGAACAGCTCAAATAAGCAAAGAGAAACGACAGTCCATCATTACTTTAAGACATGAAGGTCAGTCAATACGGAAAATGTCAAGAACTTTGAAAGTTTCTTCATGTGCAGTCGCAAAAAACATCAAACGCTATGATGAAACTGGCTCTCATGAGGACCGCCACAGGAAAGGAAGACCCAGAGTTACCTCTGCTGCAGAGGATAAGTTCATTAGAGTTACCAGCCTCAGAAATTGCAGCCCAAATAAATGTTTCACAGAGTTCAAGTAACAGACACATCTCAACATCAACTGTTCAGAGGAGAATGTGTGAATCAGGCCTTCATGGTCGAATTTCTGCAAAGAAACCACTACCAAGAAACACAAGCAATGGACATTAGACTGGTGGAAATCTGTCCTTTGGTCTGATGAGTCCAAATTTGAGATTTTTGGTTCCAACCGCCGTGTCTTTGTGAGACGCAGAGTAGGTGAACGGATGATCTCCGCATGTGTGGTTCCCACTGTGAAGCATGAAGGAGGAGATGCGATGGTGTGGGGGTGCTTTGCTGGTGACACTGTCTGTGATTTTATTTAGAATTCAAGGCACACTTAACCAGCATGGCTACCACAGCATTCTGCAGCGATACGGCATCCCATCTGGTTTGGGCTTAGTGGGACTATCATTTGTTTTTCAACAGGACAATGACCCCACACACTTCCAGGCTGTGTAAGGGCTATTTGACCAATAAGGAGAGTGATGGAGTGCTGCATCAGATGACCTGGCCTCCACAATCACCTGACCTCAACCCAATTGAGATGGTTTGGGATGAGTTGGACCGCAGAGTGAAGGAAAAGCAGCCAACAAGTGCTCAGCATATATGGGAACTATTTCAAGACTGTTGGAAAAGCATTCCAGGTGAAGCTGGTTGAGAGAATGCCAAGAGTGTGCAAAGCTGTCATCAAGGCAAAGGGTGGCTACTTTGAAGAATCTAAAATATATTTTGATTTGTTTAACACTTTTTGGGTTACTACATGATTCCATATGTGTTATTTCATAGTTTTGATGACTTCACTATTATTCTACAATGTAGAAAATAGTAAAAATAAAGAAAAACCCTTGAATGAGTAGGTGTGTCCAAACTTTTGACTGGTACTGTATGTGTGTGATTCTGTACTCACATATCCAAAGTCATGTGCCCCTCTCTGTGCTTCCCACAGTTGTGTCAAGTTGGCTGGATGTCCTTTGGGTTGTGGACCATTCTTGATACACATTGGAAACTGTTGAGCGTGAAAACCCATCAGCGTTGCAGTTCTTGACACATTCAAACTGCACCTACTACCATACCCTGTTCAAAGGCACTTAAATATTTTGTCTTGCCCATTCTCCCCCTGAATGGCACACATACACAATCCATGTCTCAAGGCTTAAAAATCGTTCTTTAACTCATCTACACTGATTGAATTGGATTTAACAGTTGACATCAATAACGGATTATAGCTTTCACCTGGTCAGTCTGTTATGGAAAGAGCAGGTGTTCTGTGTGTGTGTGTTATGTTATGCAGGATGCACAGTAATTCATTCTAGCTAGGCCTACACCAATGCTACGTATCTGTATAGGCCTACTGTTATATTAAGTATGTGTCTTTTTAGACCTGTAGGGTAGGTATGAATATATGAATGATTTATTTTCAGTCTAGCTAGTCTTCGGTTTACAACCAAAGATACAAAATTGAGGAGGAAATTCCTAATAAAGCCATGATGTCAGCCTTTGATTTGTTTAATGACATTTTTTCCCAACTGGTTGGTTGACTTTGGCTAACAGTGAAGAAAACCTCAGCTTTTCTCCATTCCTCCCTCCTAACTTTCACTGGCTATTCCATTATTGAAGATCTAGTTCTGCCTTCTTGAATGAGTTTTTCTTTCAATCTGAAGTGAGATTTGTCATTCACAGTGGAGCACCATGCCCAATGTTGATACTATTGCTGTACATTGTACACCCTAAATAAGCTACGGTTGTGTACTGTACTTGACTTAATACAAATGTCTGCTTGTGATTGTGATATGATCAGTTTGTCATTGTTGTGGGCAGACCCTAAATTACATGATTATCTTTCTTCTCTGAGGTAAAAGGTATTGAATGACTATCTAAATTCTTGTGTTATCGGTTTTGATGATTGTAGGATACGTTAAAGCAATAAGGCCATTCTTAATGTCCTGGGGCCAGCTGAAAGTGGGGTTTGTGAGTACTTGCGGACAATGTGGAAGGAATTTCCTCTTCTTTTCCATGACATAACATCCCGTTACGCCTGTCTGCAAGCACAGTCAGGTTGATCTGTTCAACTTTGCCAAACCACATTTATTGGAATGTCATTTTATGTATGTCTATCAATCAGCCAGACACAATCATAAATGCTGCTGTCCACATTTGCCTAGTCAATCTACAGTGCAATGTGTCTTTAGGCTACTTTGTATCAAGTCTGCTGCAATACTACAATTGCTTTGAGATCCAGTGAAAGGCATATTAATGCAGTCGATTACTGTTTGCTTATTTCATTAAGCGATATGATTTCCCTTGTGAGTGCAGGACACAGTAAGCGGAAATGCAGGACCATACGTTCCATGAATAGTGACCAGGGCCTAGATTCACAAAACCTTAAGAAGACATTTCTTCTTAACTGCCATTTTTTTCCTTAACTATAAGCAAAGTTGCTATTCCTCAAAAAGGTTATTGGAAATGTTATTGCGCTATTTCTTTTGTTTCTCCTTAAGCAAAAAGTTCAGAAGAAATTTGATTCTTGAAAATAAAGTTATTGGATTTGTTCTTAATTCCAAGATAGCTAAACCCTTGTCCTAAACTCTGGGCAGTGCGAGAATAAGCTCATGAAAGCAATTGAACATGTTTAATTCACTCACAAACTTCATCTGAAAGTTTCAGTATTGATTATTTTAAACCCAAGAACATGTTTTAGAACAGTAATTCCAGTACGAAGTATGCTAACATGATTGCCATTGCTAGCTAGATAGCTAGCTAAATTGGTTGCCTAGCAACACACATCTTAAGAAGATTCATAAGATATTTGAGAAGTTCGTAAAAAAAATCATTAAATCTTAAGATATTGTTGAGGAATTGCTCTTATGAACTATCTTATGAACTTATTTATTTTCTTACAAATTTTCTTACGTTTTTGTATAAGAAGTGTTTTGTGAATCTGGGCCCTGGTCTTAGTTTGCAAATGTAGGCTAGTTTAGACAGCTATTCCGTTTCTATTAGGCCTATTGAAGTTTCTCCTTCGCAAGCCTTTTTACTCTGGTCTTTTACTGCTTTCCTTCTACTTTGCCCCTCCCCTTATAGGCTACTTATCTCTTCAGGAACAGTTTGTTCCATCACAACTGACACTGCTACCCATGACTCCCCTTCCCTTGCCCTCATGGTACTCACACTGCATGCTCCAGGATTCTTTCTCTGCCTGCCAGCTGACAGGGCAGGCTCCACATCCTTTCTTCCATAACCTCCATCCGAACAGTCTGACGCAAGAAATGCCCCTCTCCCATTGATAAAAATAAATATTGTGTAGTCTACATGGTTACATCTACAGGTATTTATGTCCATCCACATTGATTAGGGCCAGGTTTTTACAAATAATTAATTTGCTATTTTGCACCTGCGCAAAGTTTTTTCCCCCCATCCTTTTCAGAAGGCTCAATGTCTCATTCGTAGTGTCAACCTTTAATTTCATCCTTTTTGTTGTTCCGGGTGTTTTATCCCCTCAGGGAAAAAACAGGTGCAGACATTGCTGTGGTGCTAAAGGTTATGGAGTATAGCCTGGTGTCTGCAGTGTCTAGAGTTAGGCAGCCTATCCCACAGTCATGTTGTTTATATGCTTGCTGTTTGTTTTTACACCCTGTGTATTAGGTCCTTAGAGTCTGCCTTAATTGAGGTGTTCATGCCTCCCTCCCGCTCCCTTTATGTCAGTGGAGTTATTTTGGGCCCAGCTCAGATGCTTCCTGGGGGATTTGGCCTGTTTCTTATCGAAGGCTGTGGAAACTAAGGCTCAAAAAAATGTCTGGCTCAAAAAAAATGTCCTCAGCGTTAACCTGTTAATTATCTCTGTTTACTTCAGGCTTATGCAAAGTTTGCAGGCGCACCCCTCAAACTTCACAAGATCGGCAACCCCTGGAGAAGTCCCACTGGTAAGATGTCTTGTCTTTCCTTTTTAGGTCCTTTTGTATTTTTTTGTCTCAACTTGAAACATGGCTGCATTCATTTACTTCAGAACTAGGCATATTCTCCTATAATCAAAGGGAACACAGGGAGACATGGATTGGAAGGAAAATGTGCTCTCTATAAAATGGGCAGAAAATAGCTGTAGTTATATAACATCCCTTTCTTTTCACTTTGTTCTTGTTTTTATTCCTCTCTTTTACTATATTATTTCTCCATCTGTATAGTATGCTTTTCTTGATTCTTACTTTCCAGACTTAATGTCTTCCTTCTCTTCACCAATGGCTCTCACCTCTGTCTTCTCTCTCTATCCCACTCTCCTGTTCTCTCTCCATCGGTCTGTAATGGTCAAATTAACAGTGGCTGTTAATGAGTGGTGTTGTGAGATGCCTGTCTTTATGATGCGTTTTCCCTTTGCTAGGCTCCCTGCCTGCCCTGAAGACCAGCGAGAATGGGAACCTCTCTCGGCCCAGTGACATCATCATCCACCTCAGGAAACAGGTGACAGAGAGACCGCCTGCTCATGTACAGCACAGTCCTTTGCTTTGTCTGAAAGAGCTGCTCCATGCTCTGTTCCACACTTGCTTAAAGTGAATTATGGCCCCTGAACTCAACTACTGGTGGATTCTCTTGTCACAACAGTTTCTATGACCCAATTTCCCATTGAGAAAAGCAATGTTTCCTATGATATTTCCTCCCATCCCCCAAGCTCAATTAAATGCACACTTCAGCTTATGCCCAGATGGAACCCATTAGCCAAGATACTAACTGCCCCCTGACTGTGGTAGGTGGGTTGTGAGCTACTGCAGTAGGGATGTTAGAAACCACAATGCAAAGCAGATTGATAAGTGCTGTGGTGGTGGCAATGTGAGCGACCAGGGGGGAAAGCCTGGTGAGATCATCCCAAAGGACTAGACAGTAAAGGGGTAAGGATGGTGGGGTTTCCAGACAACCCTCCCAAAGTCAGTCCAAAACTGCTTATTTTACTCTCCGGAGGGAGGGAGAGAGGGAGAGAGAACCTCTCTTAGATTTCCAGTCATGTTGAGTTCTTCTTGACCCTAGCATGCACCATTTCAGACTGACTGCCCTGCGGTCATGAGGTTAGATGGCAAGCACTTGACCCAGAACACCTAGACTGCCAGGAGTCCCATAAAGGCCTCCACTTAGAGGTAGCTTTTCCGTTTTTTGAATGGGTTTCTGGAGAACATGGAAAGTGCTAATGGTGTAATCGGGCCAAGGCTGCTCATGGTATTGTTCCAGAAGGGCTTTAAAAACTACTTAGAATACCTAACGACAGCGAGACTGGTTTAAAATATTGTGGTCCTTGAATCCTGTCGGTGATGTTCGTGAAAGGTGATGAAATGCCTGAAGTGTGTTGTGATATGATCCTATCTTTCAGAAATACAATGCTGACTTCGACCTGTCTGCCAAAGAGGGCGCAGACACTCTGGCCTTCATCTCACTCCTGGAGGAAAAACTGATGCCAGCTCTGGTGAGGATCACTCAATTACTCAGAGAGAACAAGACAGACAGGGAGGGGGCTGAAGGGAGGGAGAGAGAGAGTGTGTGTGTGTGGAGAGAATGAGTGAGGAGGTTGTAGAAGACATTTCTGCAAGAATGAGATGACGTGGAAGATGTCACTAGTTGTGCACTAGTGACTGGGTGGTGCCACATCACTCTGATTATCGCAAAATGTTATTCTAATTTGCTTAATTTATTTGATTTTGTCACATAACCGCTTACTGCGTTTTTGTCCTACTTAATCTCGCTTCTCTCTGTCTCACTAGAAAGATTGTAGTTAATTATACCTGGTGCCATTGTGTCCTATAAAGAAATACCTCAAACATTGTTTCCTGTGCCAGCAGGACAGTGTCAACATGGAACAACATGTGGCTTCCTGCAGCACTTTGAAGTGGGATAAACAGCCACTGTGCTCTCAAGCATTGTACATCAATGCCAAAATGTGTTGCTCAACTGCTGTATTTTGTGTCTGTTTGAAATCATCTGAATATCCTAAGGATTCTAATTCATAGTAAATACTATGTCATTACCTCCAGCTTGTAGAAGTCCTTTTGCATCTCTTTCACACTTTGGTGCTTCTCTCTCTTTCTGGTCTAGGTCTATACTCGGTGGATTGACCCTAAGAACTATGTGGAGGTGACTCGGCGCTGGCACGCGGAGCATGCCCCATTCCCCCTGAACTTCTTCCTGCCAGGCAGCATGCAGCGCCAGCAGCTGGGGAGGCTGAGGCTGGTCAGGGGAGACGAAGAGTTGACAGCAGGGGAGGAGGTGGAGAAGGAGGTGAGTGGAGGGGGAGAAGGAGGAGGTAGGGTAGGTACACCCAAAGGCAACTATTGTTTTAATAGTCTTTCCAATCTTTCCAAATAACATTTTATTATGGGGCCCTTTGCAACCAGTCTAGTGGGGGAGGGGATACTGTATTGGTACCATATAATTTATATTGTTTATAGCTAAACTTCGTAACGCTTTGATGATTTTAAAAAATTGGTATGAAGGAAAATCTTATAATTGGATTTAATTAACTGGAAATGCCTACATATATTGTTGACAAAGCATTTTTGTTTACGTTGACTGAGGACCAGAGACCACTGTTTTTTTGTGTGTTTTTTTATCACTCTGCAAAAATACCAAAATATGTGGTTGGCGCTCATGCAGTCATGCACTGAGGAAGGAATCCATGCTGAAACGCCTGTGCACAGTAAAAACCAATAAACAATTTTCTAAATGAGTGCCAACCGCATGTTTTGGTTTGGAGTTCTGTCCAGTTCGGTCTTGTACAACATGCATTTAAATATACCACCGCCGTTAGCAAGTTAGACTACTACTTTTCATTAAAAACACCTAGAAATGGCCATAGAATTCCAGGTGTGTGAATTGGGATAGGTTATATAAAATAAAATAAATTGTGAATAGTGCCATTGGGGGTTTTACGCTGTGAGGAAACCATGTGTTGAGAGAGGTGTGAACATTGGACATGCCTCCATAGCTGAGCTGACGCATGCTTCAGTCATTGTTGCTCCCTGTGATGATGTAATTGTTTATAGGGTTGCCATGGGAACTCAACTTGTTTCCCAAAGGTTGGTCCAGGGCAGAGCCATATCTAAATCCACGGCTCTGGTCTAGGGTACCTTTTTTCAGTCTTCAGTCTGTAATGGTTAAAGACCTGAATATGGATGGGGAAAGCTGACTCTAGACCAGTGTTTTGGAATAGCCTCTTGCAGAAATTCATTAAGGAATATATCATAACTCGAAATGGTGGAAATGTGAGAATTTGGCCTGAGGTCAGTTTACAGTCTGTCAACACCTTTCTCTCTCCAGCTGTACCGCGATGCTATGGAGTGTATGGACCTTCTCTCTCAGAGGCTGGGCTCAAACAAGTTCTTCTTTGGAGACTCGTAAGTCCACACAGAGAGGTTCTACCTCAAGACATTCAACTGGGAATTCAGCACCTCAACTTAATTCACTTGCATGGCATCCATATGTATCTCTAACTACATGACGCTGTTCCCTCCAGACCTTCATCTCTGGACGCCTTTGTCTTTGGCTACTTGGTGCCCATCCTGAAGATGAAACTGCCCAATGGAAGACTCCAGCAGCACCTCAAGTCACTGGACAACCTGAGCCACTTCTGCTCCAACATCCTGGGGCTCTACTTCCCCAGCGAGGGACGAGGTGTGGGAACACATAACATACTGTACATGCAGTATGATAATATCTCAAATCTATTAAATAACTTGCTAATGTTGTTAACTTTTTAATTCCATGTCTCACACTTTTATCTTTTGTGTAGATGGTTTCAGTCGTAAGGTGTCCTCCCAGCCTGAAGGGGGTGACGCTGACAACGAGCCTGGTAAGAGGCGCAAGCAACTGCTGTCGGTCCTGGTGGCCCTGGGCGCCATGTTGAGCTACGCCCTCCTCACCGGCATTGTGGCGATTCAACACGTCCAGCAGGAGACGCTAGACCACCGTCCCCCAGGCCTCAGGTCACTCTCCTCCCACGAGGAAGAGGAGGAGGATGAGGGCTGAGGATGGGGAGGAGGAGACGGCCGTAATTCAAAACTGATCTTCTGCCTCTATTCCTAATTCTTCGTTGACACTCCCTCAGAAGTCTGGAATGACTGGATAGGTGTTAACCAATATGGCAGAAACTCCAGTTAACCTTATAGGCTAGGTGGAACGTTTACTCTACTGCTGATGCCTCAACAATCCCTTCAGATCCTGGAGGAGGAGTCAACACGAAGAAGGGGCAAGGGGTTGGTGTTTGATTGGGCCAAAGCCATAGAGTACGATGAAGAGGAGGAGGAGCATTGTGGAAATATACATTAAGATGCTTCAACGATGCACCAAGAGTGCGCCGATGTCTTACTTGGAGAAGAATGTTTGGACGTTTTCTCTGCTTCTCTGATCCAAATCATGCCATTGCTTTTCTCAATTTCCTGTTGCTTTATCTTATTCAAATGATTATACTTTAGTATGTAAGTTGTATTATTGAGGGAACAAATCCCAGATAGCATTTGTGAAATTGGAATTGTTACTGGATTGTTAGTAGCATTAGCACATTCTTTCTGAACACTTGCCAAAATAACCACCATCTACACCACAGTAGACAGTGTGTGAGGTCTCTAGATGTTTAGAAATAATAATAATTTCAACAGAGCACTTGAACATAAGGCTGAGAACTGTTTTATAATTTTTCACCTACCATGAATTTGAGTGCCAGGCCTGCAATTTGGGGCATTTAAATGTTTCAGGACCGCTTCAAAATATTGTGGAAATTGCCCTCCCCAGGGAAGTTCAATAAATCACTTTAATGTTCCAATACATCTGCTCGCTGTGTAAAGGCTTCCCCTGCTTTAGGATGATAGTTGATCTCTTCAGCCATACGGGGTTACATTATTGTCTAATTCAGAGTTGCAAGAAGCTCATTGACTTTGTATTTTTCAATTTCTTAAAGGTAGCCTGTTGGAGAGTAAAATAATTTATGGTATGTACATTTGTAATGCAATTGTTAGTGGAGTTAAACTTATTCAATCTTGTTTTGAGGGCAGAACTAATGTTACACACAGGTTGCCATACACCTTAACCCTAAACTTAATCCAACCCCTGAACCTGCCTAACCTTAACCAATTGGGATTACTTGCCTAAATTTAACCAAACACATTTGTTTCTGCCCTCGAGGCAAAGCTGCCCTCAGAACCAGATACAATAAATATATGCCAAAATGAGGATGTGGGCTATAAAGATGAGGATGGTCCCATATTGAGGGGGGAACACCTGTAGCGTGAATAAATAGCATACATTTTTTATAGTGTGAATAGGAGTTGAAAAAGCAAACTGTAAATATATTAATGTAGGCTTCATTTTCATGGTTGAATAAATGGATCACATACATACTTTAAAATTGTGTGGAGGAGATATGTTATTTTGTGTAGTAACTATTGTAATACACTGAACTTTGGATAGGCCTATCTGGGACAGGGGTACTTGTGCTTGGAAAGATGAAAGAGCATGCTGCAACACATATTTCAGCCTGGTCTCATAGACTAAATGTAACAGAAAATCCAGGACACCCAAGTTACACTGAACCAAAATATAAACACAACATTCAAAAATGTTACTGAGATACAGTTCATATAAGGAAATCAGTCCGTTGAAATCAATTCAGTAGGCCCTAATCAATGGATTTCACATGAGTGGGAATACAGATATGCATCTGTTGATCACAGATACCTTAAAGAAAAGGTAGGGGCATGGATCAGAAAACCAGTCAGTATCTGGTGTGACCACCATTTGCCTCATGCAGCGCAACACATCTCCTTCGCATAGAGTTCATCAGGCTGTTGATTGTGGCCTTTGGAATGTTGTCCCACTCCTCTTCAATGGCTGAGCGAAGTTACTGGATATTGGCGGGAACTGGAACACGCTGTCGTACACGTCGATCCAGAGCATCCCAAACATGCTCAATGGGTGACGTCTGCTGAGTATGCAGGCCACGGAAGAACTGGGACATTTTCAGCTGCCAGGAATGGTGCACAGATCATTGCGACATTTATTGCCATCGATAAAATGCAGGTGAAGAAGCCGGATATGGAGGTCCTGGGCTGGCCTGGTTACACGTGGTCTGTGGTTGTGAGGCCGGTTGGATGTACTGCCAAATTCTCTAAAATTACATTGGAGGCGGCTTATGGTAGAGAAATTAACATTAAATTCTCTGGCAACAATTCTGGTGGACATTCCTGCAGTCAGCATGCTAATTGCACGCTCCCTTAACTTTTAGCATTTTAGCAACTTTTCAACTACTTACAACTTTTTAGCTACCTTGTTAGCTAAGCCTTCCCCTAACCTGAACCCTATTAGCTAACCCTAACCCTTTAACCTTAATCCTAACCCCTAGGCTAGCTAGCGTTAGCCAGCTAACTAGCATTAGCCACCTACCTAATGTTAGCCACAACAAATTGGAATTCATAACATATCATACATTTTGCTAATTCTTAACATAATGTACATTTTGCAAATTCGTAGCATATTGTACGTTTTCTAAATCGTAACATATCATATGAATTGTAGTTCATAACATATCATACAAAATGGATGATGGACATCCACAAATTAATACATACCATAGGAAATGTAACATATCATACTAAATGAGTATCTCATCTTTACATACAGAATAATACGAAATGCTCTGAGACCAGGTTGCATATTTGGATATTACTGTAGTTTAGTCAGATAAAAGATTGGGAGAAGATTATTAAGAAATAGACACGGCAAATGACCGAAAAGGATGGATAAACATTTCCATATTTTTTCTTGAAGGAGATACAGTGACTGGAACTGGGCACCTGGCCTTGTAGTTCCTGGCATCCACCCTCCTTGTTGCCCCAATAACTTGTTTCATTCGAACCTGGTCCCCGCAGACCAACATCTGCGCATGACGCCATCGGCAAGGAATCCCGCATTGGCTCCTGTTGACGCAGGGTTTTTGTTTTGTTTAGCGTGTGCGTGCGTGGCGTGGCAAGCGCGTCTCTTTCCGAATTGGAATTTTTGAGATCCACCAGTTTCTTTCCCCTTATGCGCTTTGGAGCAATCACCGAGCTGCACCCCGATTAAAATAAACTCCCTCTGCTTTCAATGAAATCTCTAGGGGCTGAGTTTAATGACCTTGAAAAATGATCTGGGAAAGAATTCCTGTTTTAAGAGTAGGGAAAAAAACGCTTGTACATGATCACCCTCATTTTCCATGAATCAGAAAAAAACGCAACACTGCATTTGCGCAATCTGCAGCAATGAACAGAGGTCAGAAATTCGGCTGAATTTAAGTTTGGTAAAATAGTGCTAAAACGGTGAGTCAAAACATATTCAACTCGACCAGGATAAGACGCAATACATTCACTCATATTTTCCTCTCAGGAAAACCAATATGAAAAACCGGACACTGGAATCCAAAACCATACATACTACAGGCTTGTTGGAAAGGTAGCAATCCAGAAATGTGGCAACAATGAGTGGGTCTATATTTTGCATAGGCCTATCCAGTTGTCATCATGGTCCAATAAAGAAAATGTATGAGAAATATATTTTCTCCATCACATGCTGTTAAACCCAAGTTGCCCCGGCAACTCAAAAGTAATCAAACAAAAACATTTCACAAGCTGAGGGATAGGAAAATAAGGGGGAGGGCTGGAGACTTGAGGAGAGAAGTTTTATGCATGTGGAAGTTTTACTCATATAGCCTTTTTATCCGAAAGCGAAATGGCCATCTTACAAAGATTCAAAATATTTATTGAATGAAGTCATTTCTGTAGCCTTCTTCTGTTAACACTGATATTAAAAATAGATATGTGTGCTTTGTACACATCCAGTAATACACTTGGTAATGGCATGCTCTCCAGTGCACATTTAAACTGAAAAAATATATAAACGCAAAATGCAACAATTTCAAAGATTTTACTGAGTTACAGTTCATATAAGGAAATACGTCAATTTAAATAAATTCATTAGGCCCTGATCTATGGATTTCACATGACTGGGAATACAGATATGCATCTGTTGGTCACAGATACCTTTACAAAAAGGTAGGAGTGTGGATCAGAAAACCAGTCAGTATCTGGTGTGACCACCATTTGCCTCATGCAGCGCGACACATCTCCTTCACATTGATCAGGCTGTTGATTGTGGCCTGTGGAATGTTGTCCCACTTGCTGGATATTGGCGGGAACTTGAACACGCTGTTGTACACATCGATTCAGAGCATCCCAAACATGCTCAGTGGGTGACATGTCTGGTGAGTATGCAGACCATGGAAAAACTGGGACATTTTCAGCTTCCAGGAATTGTGTACAGATCCTTGCGACATGGGGCCGTGCATTATCATGCTAAAACGTGAAGTGATGGCGGAGGATGAAGGGTAAGACAATGGGCCTCAGGTATCTATGTGCCTTCAAATTGCCATCGATAAAATGCAATTGTGTTCATTGTCCGTAGCTTATGCCTGCTTATACCATAACCCCAACAACATCTCCCGAGTGGCGCAGTGGTCTAAGGCACTGCATCGCAGTGCTAGCTGTGCCACTAGAGATCCTGGTTCGAATCCAGGCTCTGTCGTAGCCGGCCGTGACCGGGAGAACCATGGGGTGGCGCACAATTGGCACATCGTCGTCCAGGGTAAGGGAGGGAATGGCCGGCAGGGATGTAGCTCAGTTGGTAGAGCATGGTGTTTGCAACGCCAGGGTTGTGGGTTTGATTCCCAGGGGGGTCAGTATGAAAAAAATATATATATATAATGTAAGTCGCTCTGGATAAGAGTGTCTGCTAAATGACGTAAATGTAAATGTAAATGTAAATGTAAATCATGGGGCACTCTGTTCACAATGTTGACTCTGTTCACAACGTCAGCAAACCGCTTGCCCACACGACGCCATACACGTAGTCTGCGGTTGTGTGGCCGCTTGGATGTACTGCCAAATTCTGTAAAACCCGCTTATGTTAGAGAAATTAACATTCAGTTCTCTGGCAATAGGTCTGGTGGATATTCCTGCAGTCATCATGCCAATTGCACGCTCCCTCAAAACTTGAGACATCTGTGGCATTGTGTTGTGAGACAAAACTGCACCTTTTATTGTTCCCAGCACAAGGTGCACCTGTGTAATGATCCTGCTGTTTAATCAGCTTCTTGATATGCCACACCTGTCAGGTGGATGGATTATTTTTTAATTTTTTTTGGTCATTTTAGCAGACGCTCTTATCCAGAGCGACTTACAGGAGCAATTAGGGTTAAGTGCCTTGCTCAAGGGCACATCGACAGATTTTTCACCTAGTCGGCTCGGGGATTAGAACCAGCGACCTTTCGGTTACTGGCACAACGCTCTTACCCACTAAGCTACCTGCCGCCCCTATCTTGGCAAAGAAGAAATGCTCACTAACAGGGATGTAAAGAAATGTGTGCACCAAAAATGTGAGAGAAATACACTTTTTGTGTGAATGTAAAATTTTGGGGATCTTTTAATTCAGCTCAGGAAACCATTATTTTGAAGTAAACTTGGAGTCACGCTTTGATATGGTGTGTGGTCCTCCCACTAGGATTTGCGAAACTGTGCAGTTTAACAATTAGTCATTTAGCAGACACTCTTATCCAGAGCGATTTACAGGAGCAATTAGGGTTCAGTGCCTTCCTCAAGGGCACATCGACAGATTTTTCACCTAGTCGGCTCGGGGATTAGAACCAGCGACCTTTCGGTTACTGGCACAACGCTCTTAACCACTAAGCTACCTGCCGCCGCCCGTTTATTAGGTAGGCTACAGATGAAATAAATTATGATGAACTTCACAGGGTGGTGAAAGTGTGTGGTGATCTTGATGCTCCTTTTCAATAAATGTAAAGTGTATTATTCTGTTGACATGATGATCGAAGCTTGACTGCCATTAGTGAAATAAATATATTCTCGCTCTTATCCATAATAATCTCATCATGTATTTGTATTTATATTGGATCCCTATTAGATTATACACCTACACACCTACACACACACACACACCTCAGGTTGCCTCTGCTCCCTGCCAGTAGCCATCCCCAGATACACACACTCTGACAAGTTGACGTTTCGTCACTAAATTAATCCAGACCTCAATTTGCTGCTGCAGCGTAAACCTGTTAATAAATTATACATTTTTTTTCAGTCCCCACAAAAAACGCAACCAAGTGCCAATGCAAGGCCCTCACTCTGTCACTCAGAAACGTATTCCAGTGTCTGCCTGCCAGCTGAAAATCTTTACCAGTGTGTGTGTGTGTGTGTGTGTAGGCTACCTGCCCCTC